CGCGGGCGCGCATACGGCTGTAGGTTAGCACTTGAGCATTTGGAGGTTCACGGTACTTAAATGTACTTACTTAATATTAGTTATAACTGCACTCAGAAGTGTACTTATCACCATATCAGGGCACCAAAGGGGCTTACAAGTGGGTTGTAAGTACAGGTAGAATTAGTTACTAAGTACCATGAACCTCCAAGCAAGGTTCCTTTCCAACAGCAGGGAAACGACAGAGCATTTATGGGGACCCCCATTATGGACCCTGAAATAGTAGGATTCCCTTTTATTAAGGAGCCCCATGAAGTTACCCCTAATTTCGTAAACTCCCATATTATGGTAAATATAGAGGCGTGTTGGGTGCAAAGCCTTGGGGACCGCCAGGCTGCTTGAGTGAGTTGACGCCTGCCTCGGTCCGGACCCAGATCCCTGGGGCCTCTCCAACATCGCACGAAGGCTCTGGATACCCCGCGCTCGCGACTCTGCCACGTGGGAAGCCTTGGAGACGCGCGCGTCATCTGGAATGGCATGGTTCAACGCGGTGTAGCCGGCCAACACGGCATGGGCACCCAGCAACCTGCAATGACTTGATGGCCCCTCATGGGAAGCGACTTGCCATCAAGGCAAGTTGAAGGCAAGCGAGTTCCGGTCCGAGGACAGGTTCTGGAAACTCGGTATGCGTCTCGTGCCAGCCAAGAGACCTCCATCCTCTCCTTTGTGATGTGTGCCTTCGAGATGCTACAGAGACTAGAAGTAGCGCATCGGTTTTTTAAAGAGCCGACCGACTAGAAGTGTCCGAGTGGCCCCTTGTGACCTTTGTGTGAGGAGCCGACTGCCATGGCATGGATCCGCGGCACCCTCCGGCGAGAAGATCCTCCCCTGCTGTCCGCGCCCGCCTCTTGCGCATAGGCTCAGATCAGGGAGCCAGGGCATCGGGAGCTCTCGAGCATGGTTTGGGGCTGCGGCGCGCCAAAGCACAAGGAGGAGCCAGCAGCGCAAGCAGTCGCCACAGCGGCCAGGGCAGCTATGGGCACGTTCGGGCCGCAGAGCCCGTGGAACACGGGACGAAGCATCGCTGCGGCTGAGCGGCAGGGCCGGTCTCCCATGGAAGCACCCAGGCAGGCCGCTGTCCTGCGTCGAGCCGAACTCTCACCTAAGGGACTTGGCAACACTGCGCAAGGCTGGGCTGGGAGATTGCATTTTTGGGGGCGAAAGGGCTTCTGAATGGTTCCCCCCGCTCTTGGTTTCGGGGGCTCAGTATTCGGAATCTGAAAATCTTAATGTCAGATCCAAATTCTGGACGCTGAACATTGTCATGACCCCGAAGGTCCTGCCACCCTCGCGCTGCGTGGTGCGGCCTTCCTCGCAGTGCTGCTCGACTTGGAAGCCTGCTTTGGAAGGGAGTTGGGCTTGGAGTTTCGGTATTGCAGCAATATTGCAGCCGGGCCGGCAGGGTTTCTGGGAAAGGCCTCAAAGGGCGGGGTCCCAGGGAGGGTCCCAGGCGGGTCCGGGGGGTGGGAGGGTGAGGGGCAACCCAAACAGCCAAATTTGCACATTTTGGACCACCCCCTCTATCGGACCCAGTCCCCACGGCATCGGTGTGCGGCTCCTCCAAGCGATGGGGCGGGGGTCTCACAGGGCGGGGCAAACGCTTCTCGGCAGGCCACCTTTGTGGTGTATGGAGGCAAACCCCATAGGAGCCCTACACCTCCAAGGTCCAATCTGCACCGAAATGCCATGAAACTACTCTCATTGCATACCTCGTTGGGTGTACTCACGACCCTGTTTACACCTGCTCATGAACCTCCGGCTACAAGGACCTTAACCCTAAGCTTAGTGGGTTCTTAGCAGGGAATTCGGGAAACAGGTGCTTGCGATATACTCCCATAACGGGATACATGAATCATCGGATCTCAGGTAGCTAGTCCCCTAAGCTTTTGAGAGCCACGCCAGCCCCTAGCACACCCATAAACCCTAAACCCTACCCTAAACCTTACACGTACACTGGAGCCCCTTTCAGAGAAAGGACCTCGGAAGCGTCCCGAGAAGTTCTGCCCGAGTCCAGTGTGCAGGCCGGGAAGAAAGTCTAGTTCTGAGCCGTCCTAAGTCCCCGCCTAAACAGATAAGGGTTTAGGGTTTAGGGTTTAGGGTACGGTAAGCCGGCCCTACTCCCCAAACCTCAGGCCTCAACCCTGGACCCCAGAACCCCAAACCCCAGAAACCAAACCGCCCTCTGAGCCGGCAGGCCCCAGCCAACACAGCGCAGGCCTCTGCTAATCCCTGGCACCGCGGTGCCGCGCTCATGGCAGCAGCTGCGGTGCAGGGGGAGGGGAGCTGCCCCCCGCCGCAGGAGGGGCTCGGGGCAGGCATTTTGTATGGATTGTGATGATTGGGCCCACCTCACAGCAGGTGCCCAATCCTACAGTGTGTTGGAGGTTGTCATCAGCAAGACCCGCGCAGGAGCATTCCAACCTCGTCTGAGCATCTGGCGTGCTGCAGACAGCGACTCTCGGCATTGCCAGTGACACAAAGTTTAGTAAACCAGAACGAGCTGATGGCCGTCACTGCTACAGTAGCTCATGGTTAGCCCACCTGAAACAAGCTGTGTGTCGCTCCAGTGTTTGTGGGTTTCCGAAGAAGCTCCGTGCACCGCGCAGGCAGGCCTTCGTGGAGCTTCCCTGCACATCAAACTCGCAGCTTGAATCAAGTAGCACTCTCAAATCAACGACATTTGCTGTCGCTACTAAGCATCAGCAAGCATGGATGTACTCGAGTGTGTAGGCCGTCTTCGGTGTGATGATGCGGTCTTCTTTAGCCTTGTGCATGTTTGCCCGAAGCCCTGATCGTGTGGGAGCACTGAAGGGGGCCCATACCGCAGCAACTGGCCAGCAGCGTGCGGGAGCATGGCGAGGCGATGGCAGGGACCGAGCCCTTGCTCGACCCTGTTGCGCAGTTGCTGGGCACTCAAGATCCTGAGGCTTGGCTGTCTGGTGGTTTCAGGGGGTGGAGGGCGGCATCAGGTTCTGTTGTCCTGTTCGAGATGTTGTAGTCTGGAGCCACCTCAAGTGCCGAGGAAGAGGTCCGAGCAGCGGTGGTTGTGAGTTTAGCTCTCGGCCCCGAAGATCGTTTCCGCTTGCTTCCCCTCATCCAGACGTGCAGTGAGACGCCTGAGCTGCTCGGCCCTTTCCTGACGGCATGCGAAACGACATGTCCAGCCAAAACAGCAGACTCTCTTGCCAAAACAGGTGCGCAGTGTTCCCCCAAGCGGCTCCTCTGACTCATCCTTGCCTCTGCTTTAATTTTGTGCTTCGGGCCGGAAAGGTGGTTCAAGGTGAGCTCGAGGCTGCAGGTTTTGGCCCAGCATGCGTCTAAACCTTCAACCCTAAACCCTAAACCCTAAACCCTAAACCCTAAACCCTAAACCCTAAACCCTAAACCCTAAACCCTAAACCCTAAACCCTAAACCCTAAGTAGATGCAGGACTTCCCGGCGCATCTCGAGGCCGAGCTCGCGCGCGTGGGGCCGGAAGGCGCGGCCTGCACTACACGTTGGCACAGCCGGTTGCCTCATGTTACGTCCCCCTGTCCATCCTGGGGGTTTAGGGTTTAGGGTTTAGGGTTTAGGGTTTAGGGTTTAGGGTTTAGGGTGGGCCTTGCTTCAGGCTGCCACAGAAGGAGCTCTTCGAGTCCTTCAACCTGAAGGCCTTTCCAGGAGGCTCCTGGGGCATCGATGTCTGCAGCCTCGACTTCAAGATGCTCAGCGCCTACGGCGCTCGAGCGGTGCGTGCTTAAGAGATGCGCAGAGGCTGGGAAAATATTCGAGGTCACCCCTCAATTCGTACCCTCAGTGCTTTAGGTGGTCTGACCTGGAAACCTTGTAGCGGAATTGGGATGTTTAGGAGGACTGGCAGAAGCAGCCCTCAAGGGGCAGTGCTCATCGCGACAGGTAGCCACGAAACCCTAAACCCTAAACCCTATACCCTAAATCCTATACCCTATACCCCAAAACACCCTGGTTTAATCTGACATCCTGGGGTTGGCCCTTCTGCCTGAAGAAGGGCTGTTGTGACGGTCCCTTGCTTCGGGGGCTCATTCCCCTTTTGAGGGATTCGATTGCAGAAACCCTAAAACCCCTAACCCCTAACCCCTAAACCCTAACCCCTAAACCCTAAACCCTGAACCCTAAACCCTAAACTCTAAACCCTAAACCCTAAATCCTCAAGGCATCCACGAAAAGAAGCCCTAAGTTAGGGCAACCCCCTCCCCCCCCCCCCAATTTATTTAAACCGAATCTGGGGCCCGTGAGCCTTCGAAGCCGGGCAACTTGAAATCTCAACCCTAACCTTAGGGTTTGGGCTTTAGGGTTTGGGGTTTAGGGTTTAGGGTTTAGGTTTTGGGGTTTAGGGTTTAGGGTTTAGACCCCAACCCTAGCCTTAGGCGATCCATGGGGCCCTGGAATCGTAGAGCCGCCCCAGACCCTGAAGCTTGTTTCCCCCAAAATACCCTAAACCCTAAACCCTAAACCCTGAACCCTAAACCCTAAACCCTAAACCCTCATAGCCGCCCTCAGCCCCGCTTTTGAAAGGGTAGCTTCATGGTCCCAGTCTCTAAACCCAAACCCTAAACCCGAAGCCCTAAACCCTAAACCCCAAAACCCAAAATCCCCCAACTAAATTGATACGGTCCTTAAGAGACGGCGAGAACCTTGGGGAAGCTTAGGGAGCCTCCAGGAGTAGTGGGGAGTAATAGGGAGTAGTACTGTAGGGAACCTTGGTAACACCCTTGAATCCCCCTCCCAAAAGGACCCCCTCATAAACCCTGAACCCTAAACCCTAAACCCTAAACCCTGAACCCTAAACCCTAAACCCTAAACCCTAAACCCGAAACCCTAAACCCTAAACCCTAAACCCTAAACCCTTCCTCAGGCACTCTATCAGAAACCCAAGCTTTGAGCCCTGCACTCTCCGCAGCCCAAGTCCCGGGGGGGGGAGACCGGGAGCCGCCCCACGGGCCATGAACAAGGCTGGCCTGTTGGGCTGAGGGTTTAGGGTTTAGGGTTTAGGGTTTAGGGTTTAGGGTTTAGGGTTTAGGGTTAGGGGTTGTGGTGTCTTCGGGCGTTTCGGGTGTAGAGGTGTTTGGGTTTAGGGTGTTAGGGGTCTTCAGGGTTTTAGGGGTTGTGGAGGTTTTCGGGTTTAGCGTCTTCGGGTTGCAGGGGAATTTCGGATTTAAGCGTTTTCGGGTGTAGGGCTTTAGGGTTGTAAGGGTTTTCGGGTTAGGGTCTTAGGGTTGTAGGGTTGTAGGGTTGCCGTGGGTTCTAAGTTTAGGGTTTCGGGTTTAAGGGTTTTCGGGCCTAGGGAAGGGTTGCTCTGGATTGCTCGTCGCATTTGGGTTGCGAGCTGCCCATTCAACACCCTAAACCCTGCTCCCTAAACCCTGAACCCTAGACCCGAAACCCCTGGCAGGTGATTTCCGGCTACTTTGACAATGCTCATCGAGGCCTCCAGCGGCAGCAGCAGGCCCCCGCAGAGGGACGGGCTTCGGGGTTTCGGGTATCAGGGTTTAGGGTTTAGGGTTTAGGGTGAGATTATTAGGGCTTAGGGGTTTCGGGTTTCGGGTTCAGGGTATCAGATGGTTTGACTTTTGAAGTTTTTTGGGTTGAGGGTATTCGGTTGAGACTATTAGGGTTTGCAGTTTGAGGTTTTTGGTTTTTTTGGGTTCTTGGAAGGGTCTTAGGGGCGACCGTGGAAGCACCAGCTGTAGGTAACCCTGGCGCATAGCATGTTGAGCAGCTGCTGGGAGCAACCCTATCCCCCCAAAACCCTGAGCCCTAAACCCTGAACCCTAAACCCTAAACTAAGTGAGGGTCGCTTCCGTCGAGCGACAGACCCCGAACGCTCGGCCGAGGGCCTTACAGCCCGAGCGCCCAAGCAAAAAGAGAAACGGAAAGGTGAGGGTTAAGCCTCACCGTGAAAAGGGCCGAGGCTACCCCGAACCCCAGCTTCAACCCTGGCACCGCAAAACCCTGCGAAGGCCTTCAATCAAGCAAATAAAGGGCCTCTACGGGTCCTAACGTGCCGAAGGCCCGAAAAGGGCCAAGGCTACCCCGAACCCACAGCTTAAACACTAGCGATTGAAATACTCATTGGCGAAAAAAATTAATAGGTTCCCTGACCTTCAAATGAACAAAGCCTCTACGGCCCCTGACATGCCGAAGGACCGAACAGGGCGAGAGACGCCAAGAGCCAGCAAAAGGCTTCAAAAGACCCCCCAAAAAAGAAGGGGGGCATGCACGTACCTGCAATGAAAAATTTTGGGCCCCCCGGGCCAAGGCCCCGGGCCAAGGGCCCCCCGGGAGGGCCAAAGGGTTTCCCCCAAGGGCCCGGGCCAAGGGCCAAGGGCAGGGGGCAGCGGCCCCGAATTCAGGGCTTCCAGGAAAGTGCAGAACCCAAATCAGCAAAGGCCTCTGCGGGCCCTGACGTGCACGTGCCGAAGGCCCGAAAAGGGCCGAGGCTACCCCGAACCCCAGCTTAAACCCTAGCGATTGAAATACTCATTGGCGAAAAAACATTAATAGGTTCCCTGACCTCCAAATGAATAAAGCCTCTATGGCCCTGACACGCCGCAGGTCCGAACAGGGCCCCGAGAGACTGTCCGTGCCCGCAATGAAAAATGCGATTTTTGAGTATTGAAAACGATGGTTTTAGGCACCCCTGCCCGCAATGAAAAATGTTATTTTTTAGTACTGAAATCGATGGTTTTGGGCACCCCTCCATTTCACCCGACAAGGACCAGGAAAGCCCCAGGAAGCCCCCAAATCAGCAAGGGCCTCTACGGGCCCTGACGTGCCCAAGGCCCGAAAAGGGCCGAGGCTACCCCGAACCCCAGCTTAAACCCTAACACCGCAAAGCCCTGCGAAGGCCTTCAAGCAAATAAAGGGCCTCTACGGGCCCTAACGTGCCGAAGGCCCGAGAAGGGCCAAGGCTACCCCGAACCCCAGCTTAAACCCTAGCGATTGAAATACTCATTGGCGAAAAAAAATTAATAGGTTCCCCGACCTTCAAATGAATAAAGCCTCTACGGCCATCGATGGTTTTGGGCACCCCTTCATTTTACACCGGAAAGGCCAGGAAAGCCCCCAGGAAGCTCCCAAAAGGCCCCAAGAGCCACCAAAAGGCCTGAGGCCCTTAAAGAAGGGGAATCCAGGAGCAGGCACAAAGGGTTTCCCTGACCTTCAAATAAATAAGGGCCTCTACGGGCCCTGACACGCCGAAGGCCCGAAAAGGGCCGAGGCTACCCCCAACCCCAGCTTAAACCCTAACAGCGCAACTTCAAAAACATCAAAGCAAGCATCAGGGCACAAGAAAATAAAATTCCATAAACCCTAAACCCTAATAGAGTATAGTTTTTTGTGGCCGGGGTGGGTTGACGGCCAACGCGAGCGCGCGGCCCGGGGTGTTTCACACCCGAGCGCGCGCCCTCCCCTGACACACCCTAAACCCTAAACCCTAAACCCTAAACCCTAAACCCTAAACCCTAAACCCTAAACCCTAAACCCTAAACCCTAAACCCTAAACCCTAAACCCTAAACCCTAAACCCTAAACCCTAAACCCTAAACCCTAACCCTTAACCCTAAACCCTAAACCCGAAACCCTAAACCCCAAAACTTGGCAGGGCGAGCGCGTTCCCTCCGGCGCAGCCGCCGGTGGCCCAGTCTTGCGCAGCAGCTCTTAGACACTGAAGGGTTGGGATTTTTCATCCAGGGTTTGGGGTTTAGGGTTTGGGGTTTAGGGTTTAGGATGGTTTAGGGTTTGGGGTTTGGGGTCGAGGGATGTCCCCCCCGTATACTAGCAGCCCTTAATCGGGGTTACAGTAGGGGGGGGGTACTACAATCCCGATTAAGGGCTCTTAGTTTAAGGGGAACATCTCAACTGAAGGGTTTGGAGGCTTGCAGTTTGAGGCCTTGGGGGTTTGAGTGATAAGCGCTAGTCCTATTTCGATTGAGGGCTTGAGGGTGTCGGGGTTCAAGGGTTTCGAGGGAATCGGGTTTCAGAGGTTTGGTTCTAGGGGTTCCCGCAGTTCGGCTCTGAAAACTCTGGGGCCCGGCCGCTAAACGCGACCAAAACTCAAAGGTTGTACCGCGCAGGGGCTTACGCTGTTTCCAAGATCATCCCCTTACAATCCTCAACCCTAAGCCCTAAACCCTCAACCCTCAACCCTCAACCCTAAACCCTAAATGCTCATGTATCTTCTTTCCGTCTATCACGGAAGAAGCAGGCTCAAAGACTCCTGGTGAGTTCCTGTTCGCGTACTTGGGGCCGAGCCCTGAACCCTGAAGCTCAGCCTGAAATCTTTTCCGGAACCGAATTTTATTGGGGGGCTGAAATGTAGGGATATCTGTAGGGGTAGGGTTTTAGGTGTAGGCGTAGGGTTATATGTAGGGCTATATGTAGGGTTCTGTGTAGGGTGATGTAGGTTCCACCAGGCTTTTGGGGTTCAGGGTTCCCCAAAACTGAAGCGCTCCCGCGAGGTCCAGCTGCCTCCGCTCCGCAGTGAGGAGGAGAAGATGACGCTCGAGTCCTCCAAGGCCAGGAGGGCCCTAAACCCTAAACCCTAAACCCTAAACCCTAAACCCTAAACCCGAAAACCCTAAACCCTAAACCCTAAACCCTAAACCCTAAACCCTAAACCCTAAACCCTAAACCCTAAACCCTAAACGAAGCCTCCAAGGCAGAAGCCAAACTCCACAAAACCCCTAAACCCGAAACCCTAAACCCTAAACCCCAAACCCCAAACCCTAAACCCGAAACCCTAAACCCTAAACCCGAAACCCTAAACCCCTGTATAAACGCTTCCTTATGTTTCTCCAACATATGGGGGTTGCCGAAATTAGGGGTACCGCTTTTGATGGTCGGTCCCCTTAAGGGGATTCTATTCTATTGGCTATTGGGGTACCCCTATATTGGAAAATGCCCATCTTGTGTAACCGTGAACTATGCTCAGAAGTGGCTTTGCGCTTCGAACTTTTCCTCCAATTTGTGAAGCCTTTTCGGTGTTCTCACTGTGTGCCTCTAGAACCCTTTCTGGCCTTCTATGTAACCCCATGTAACCCATAGAGCCCCAAAACAGGGGTCGGCTTAATTTCTAATATTTGTCCCGTCCCCAAGACATGCATCCCCCTTTTACCCCCCTTTTGCCCCCGCTATAACCCCCTTATACCCTCCTAATACCCCCCTTATACCCCCGTTATAACCCCCTCATACCCGCCTTGTACCCCCCGTATACCGCCCGTTACAACCCCCCCTTACACCACCATAGTACCCCCCCCCCCCCCCCTTATACCCCTCCTCGCCCCCAAAAGGCACAGTCCCGGAGCCTCGGCTCGTTGGTGGAGTTCACCTCCGACCAGGTCCGGGTTTAGGGTTTCGGGTTTAGGGTTTAGGGTGTAGGGTTTAGGGCGAACAAGAACCAAACTTGCCAGTGCCTCATAAAGGGTTATCAACAAACATCAGCATGGACATCTAGATAGGTGAAAGTCTGAATTTCAAGCAAATTGATAAGCGTATACAGAAATATGTGTAGACATAGATATCAGAATAACATGCATATGTATGTAATATGGGGATATGAGCTACTTAATGCGATAACTCCCGAATTCCCTACAAGGAACGAGTAAGAGAAAGAGGGACCTCCAGTAGTCCTCTTTCTCTCGTTGCGGGGGAAGGGAGGGAGGGGGTTTAGGATTTCCGGTTTGAGGGCTTCCAAGTTGTCAGTGTGTGTGTGGGTGGGACACGTCAGGCCATCGGGGGCTGAGCCTGACTTGGAATCAGAGAAATACCCAATAGTACCCTGCACTACTTTTGGGTCATTCTTACGAACCCTTAAGGGATCTATTTTTTTGGATCCTCCCAGAAATCTGGGTGGCTGTGCTGGTAAGTATGTAGGGCTTTGGTGCCGTGGGGGGGTGTCAGCCCTAAACCTTAAACCCTAAACCCTAAACCCTAAACCCTAAACCCTAAACCTTGAACCCTAAATCCTAAACCCTAAACCCTAAACCCTAAACCCAGGTGTGGGTTGAGGGTTGCAGCCCTCAGCTGATTGTAAATCACAGCGGTGGGCTGCGCTGGTTTTGTGTGCTCAGAGACCTTTTCACACGCGGGGGGTTTCCGAAAATCGGGCGCGCACGCGCCCTTTTTGGGGGGTTCCTAGAATAAGGATCATATACGATTTTTGGGGTATGCAGTATTGCGGGTGCCCCCCTATTTGGGGAAACACCCCCCACCACATCAAAGCTTGTTCAAATTTTGGGGAATCGCCGGTAGACTTGAAGGCTTGTCAGGCTCCTAAACCCCAAGGTTCCCTCCCCCTTTTTCTTTGGCACGCAGCGATGGAAACCTAGTGGCCGCTTTTACTTACCTTCCTGTTTCTGGTGTGGCAGGGCTGCCACGGGAGCAACACCAATTTCGTTCGGATGTGACAGGGCTGGGCTCAGGGTCGGGAGGGAGACAGTGAGAGGAAAGGCCTGAGAGCTGACTGCAGGCTCAGCTCAGTTCCGCCTTGTGCTTTTGAGCTTTGGAGTGAGACAAACGCAGTGCTAGCTTAAGAAATCTCAGTTCAGCGCCCATTCATTGAGTTGGTCTGGGCCGCCAGGCTCGTGCCGGTGTCCAGTCGGACAAGTACCAGCAGGCCAAGTCGTTCACGTCCCTACAGTCGTCGAGTGAATCTATGTGAATCCTACCTTGCATGCTGTTAGACCCGGCACGTGACCTTTTAGAAGCGTGGAATGTCGTCCTGGCTGGTTCCGGGCTACCCCACTTACTACTGTACTTGCTATCCCGAAGGCCCTTCAGGACAACGCCCAGCTCATGAAGAAGGTACGCCAGATGCAGGCTCGGTCGATTCCTTGGTGTGCGATGTGCGGTCGCCGCAGCTGAAACACGCAGCCGTCACCCCCCACCCCCCCTCAAACCAGGCCTCGTGTTCCGAATCCCACGTCACACTGGCCGCCGCACTTCGGACAGGAGCAGCTTGCAATCACCTCGGCGAAGAAGGAGGCCTTCAGAGCACAGGCTTGGGCTCTTGGAGCACGAGCAGATTCAAGACTTATGCATGAGTTCGATTTGCTGGATTCGTGACGCGAATTCTGTGGGTTGAAGCCTCGGTCTTACCATGCCACGCCCTATTCGGTGGCGGAATATCATTAAACCCTAAACCCTTAAACCCTAAACCCTGAACCCTTGAACCCTGAACCCTAAACCCTGAACCCTAAACCCTAAACCCTAAACCCTAAACCCTGAACCCTAAACCCTAGAACCTCAGCCCTAGAATCCTTCACAACCTGAGGCGGCCCGCCTCGAGAAGGAGTTCAAGAAGGGGCCCCGTTGCCCGGAGTGTTCGTCTCTCTTTTTTTTTCTTCTCCGCCTGAGGGCTGTAGTGGTTCTAGGGGTTTTGGGTTAGGGGTTGTAGTTTTTTTGTTGTTATTAGGGTTGCAGGGGCCTTTGAGTTGGGGGTGATAAAGGCCTCTAGTTCGTTGGGGACTCTTGGGCGCTCGGGTGTTGGGGCTTCAGGGTCTTCCCTGGGTTTTGTCTATTAGGGTTTGGGGTTTACTGGGCTCCCGCCAATCCCAAAACGAATTTGGGAGCATGTTTTTTTGCTCTGGCGGGGGCTTAGGGCTTGGCAGTTTCGTGTTTTTGGGGGTTTTCAGGAGCTCGGGGTTTGGGAGTTTTGGTGAGGAGCTCTGGGGGTTGTTTGGGGGTTCAGGCGCTTTGGGCTTGATAAATTCGGGGCTTAGCACGTCCCAGCATTTCAAAACTCCCCAAGCGATGCTATCCCACAAAACCCGAAGCCCCAAGTCTCAAAGCCACAAAAGAAGCATCATTCCCGGTGCCCACTTGGTTTCACGGGTAGTTTGAGTAGGCTGGGAAGTACACAGATTAGGTTTTCACCAGCCCCCCCCAAGCCCTCCACCCCTAGACTCGTTGTATAAACCCCCGTCAGAATTACCCATGCATGGGGATGTTCCCGCACCCCCTTTTCTAATCCCCATTAAGGACTGTCAGTATAAGGGGGAACATCCCAACCCATGCACAATTACCCATAAACCCTAAACCCTAAACCCTTAAACCCTATACCCTAAAGCACCTTAAAGCAGGCGGGATCAGTCGGAAGCCCTGCAGAAGGACCTCCTTGAGGCCCGCGCTGGGCATGCCCCAAAGCCTCCCTAACTCCCGAGCCCTGAGCGCTAGGCTCCAAAACGCCCCTAACCCTAAACCCTACACCCTAAACCCTAAACCCTAAACCCTACACCCTAAACCCTAAACCCTAAACCCTAAACCCTAAACCCTAAACCCTCAACCCTCAACCCTAAACCTAAACCCTCAACCCTCAACCCTCAACCCTAAACCCTAAACCCCAAACCCCAAACCCCCAAACCCCAAACCCAACCAAGAAGCCCCTAAGGCCTAAAGGGCCTTAGGCCCTGCCTGGCCATCTTGTGATCTTGTGGAACTCTTTCGGAGGGTGTCGCAGTCCCAGGAGCCTCGTGAAACATGAACGTAGGGGGAGTAAGGTTTAGGGTTTAGGGTTTAGGGTTTAGGGTTTAGGGTTCAGGGCGACATCTACAGGGCTTTCAGATTCAGAAGCCCATCACGGGCGGCAACTCCTAAAAGCCCTGCAAAGCTGCCGAAAGCAGCAGGGGGGAAGCGCGCATGTGGGGCTTCTGGCTCAAGGAACAGTTCAGGAGAGGCTTTCACTGCCACGACTTCGCCGGTTGCTTTTTCAACTGAGGCCGTAGCCCCAGCTCCATCACTGAGGAAGCTCGAGGGCTCGGTTGTGCCCCAACTTAAGTGTTTAGGGTTTAGGGTTTAGGGGTTAGAGAAGGTGGGCCCTTGGGACATGTGGGAAGTTTACCCTTACTGGATTTTTTGACTGAACCTTATGCAGGGGAGTATTGTCAGGGTTCCCATGGTCACCCCAAATAGATTCTTTAACTGCTGAGCCATAGGTTTAGGGGTTAAGGCACCGGAACAAGCGCATGAGTCAAATTTGGTTCGGTTCGCCTGGCCCCTGTTCGGTTTTGGGGTGTGGGGTTCAGGGTTTACTGCTTAGGGTTTTCGCGTCAGCGACCTGTTCCCAACTTGACTTTCCGACTTGAGGGTCATCCCATCCCCATGTATTGTTTAGATGGTGAGGCCGCAACCATGTCTACAGTGGCTTGTTTTTTTTCATGAAGCAGCGACAACATCTCGACGGCAGATTCCTGCCCCTCTCCACGGGCACATCCCTCCTTTTGTGGTAGGTTGCTGCTGGGGTAGCCCATTCGCAGCCACAAACCCTAAACCCTCATGCTTCTTTTGTTTGAAAGTTTGTGGGGCACTTCTGGTATGTACGCCATTCGAAGTCAGGCTTCGAAACCCAGTTCTTGCAACTTGTGAACCTCCAAGTCTGCGCCCCAAAGCCCAAAGGGGGACACCAGCAGATGAGCTCTGAATCCTAAAGCCCGAAGCCGTGAAGCCAACAACTCCAGATTCTCTCTCCACCTGAACCCTGAAGCCCTTAACTTACACACACAGGGGCCTTGGGATGCCCCTTTGAGGCAATGCTGGGAGCGCTGAAGTCTGTCTTCTGGCCACAGGCCAAGGGCTTACTACTACTCTACTGTTTTAGGGTTTAGGGTTTAGGGTTTAGGGTTTGGGGTTTAGGGTTTAGGGTCCAGTGCTTGCGCGACGTGCTCTGTCCTCAGGCCTTGAAGTCTCTAACTGTGAACCCTGTCGCAGCACCGAGGAGAGAAACACTGCCACTAAAACTGTGAGTATGGGGGGGGCCCTGAGGACTCTCTTGATCCACCGCAGCTCTCGACTAAACCCTAAACCCTAAACCCTAAACCCTAAACCCCAAACCCTAAACCCTAAGCCCTAAACCCTAAACCCTAAACCCTAGACCGAGACCCCTTAGACCCTGAATCCCTGAACCCAAGTCATCCCTATGAAGGACTGCGAGTAGAAGGGCGAACGTTGCAAGTTTAGGATTTGGCAGCTTCGCCGACCTTAAACCGTAAACCGTAAACCGTAAACCCTAAACCCTAAACCCTAAACCCTAAACCCGAAACCCGAAACCCTAAACCCTAAACCCTACTAAACCCCAAACCCTAAACCCGAAAACCCTAACAGGACCTTCAAGAGTTCTGATCTTGTCCAGGCCCCCCGCAACGCCGACGCGCCGGCGCCGGCCAGCTCACCCGGAGTCTGAGGGGTTTAGGGTTTAGGGTTTAGGGTTTAGGGTTTAAGGTTTAATTAGGGTTTAGGGCTTAGGGCTTAGGGCTTCGGGCTTAGGGCTTAGGGCTTAGGGCTTTGAGGTTTCGTTTCGAGGGCTCTTCAGGGGGTTGGCACTGAGAGGTTGCAGGGTCGAGGAAGTTTCAGGGTCGGGTTTTTGGTCCTAAACCCTAAACCCTAAACCCTAAACCCTATACCCTAAACCCTAAACCCTCAACCCTAAACCCTAAACCCTAAGCCCTAAACCCTAAACCCTAAACCCTAAACCCTAAACCCTAAATCTAAGTGCTGGTCCTTTTGCTGTATCCTGACTAAGGGGAACTAAGCATGTGGATGTCCTCCGTGCGTTTGATCGCAGGGCTGGAATCGGGTTGTTGGGATGCGGGCCATTTCCGGTTTGGGATTTGGGGGTGTACCCCCGAGCCCTAACCCCTAACCCCTAACCCCTAACCCCTAACCCCTAACCCCTAACCCCTAACCCTTAACCCCTAACCCCTGACCCCTGACCCCTGACCCCTGACCCCTGACCCCTAACCCCTAAACCCTAAACCCTAAACCCTAAACCCCAAACCCTAAACCCTAAGCCCTAAGGTGCACAGGGTTGTACACAAACAAAAACCCTAAACCCTAAACCCTAAACTTTTGGGGTTTAGGGGTGATGAGGTGTGCAGGGGGTGAGGCTTGGCGCGGAATGTGTGGGAAGTTTGGATGATAGGGCTCTCAAAGTGGGTCTGGGGTATAGCCTTCAACCCGAAACCTCAAGCCCTGGGGCTATATGGCGGGGTTGAGGGTTTAGGGTTTAGGGTTTAGGGTTTAGGGGGTCGTGTGGAGGCACTCGAGAACCTTGCCGGCGACCGGCGCAAGACGAAGCTTCGCGATGTGAAGGCTGAGGACCTGAGGGCACCGGGGCGGAGGGGTGGTTTAGGGTTTGAGGCTTAGGGTTTAGGGTTTAGGGTTTAGGGTTTCGGGCTTACGGCCCTAAGTCCTGAAAGCCTAAACCGTCTCTAGAGCTCAAGAGACACTTTGTGAACCCAAGAGAGATTGCTTAGCCCTGAGCGTTCATGAAAGATCCCCAAACCGCCGAAGCTCCCGAAGAGCTCCAGTGGATGCCCTGACGACGGCCTGACCTCGATTCTGCGGTTCCAAGACTGGGGGAAACCCTGACGGTTTCGGGTTTAGGGTTTAGGGTTCAGGGTTTAGGGTTTAGGGTTTATTGAGGACCTACCTGAGCTCAACCTTCGGGACGACGGCAATTCTGTTTGTCCGCTGGACGTAGCTAGCTCTCTCGCTATTCAGAGGCAAGCTTGATACGGGGAGCCGCCCAAAGCGCTTGCGTAGATGGTAGCGGTTCCGAGTCTTGCAGAATCCCGCTGCGAGGACTACCCGACCCCGGAGAAGTACCTGGAAGGCGAGCTCAAATCCTCTGCCCTCATGGCAGACCAATCGCGTCTTTGTGGGCAGCATTCTCCCTAAACCCTAAACCCTAAACCCGAAACCCTAAACCCTAAACCCTAAACCCTAAACCCTAAACCCTAAACCCTAAACCCTAAACCCTAAACCCTAAACCCTAAACCCTAAACCCTAAACCCTAAACCCTAAACCCTAAACCCTTAGGATCGGCTAGAGGGGCTCAGAGCCGCATACGCTTAAGCCCGACGTCTTCGCAGGTGCAGAGATCCCGACCTTCTACCAATTCCAGAGCAACATGGTGGCAGATGAGGAGCAACCCGAAGCCCGAAGCCGACCCCCAAATCTGATGGTTTGCTTTTCGGGTTGAGGGTTGATGAGGTGTAGTTAAGGTTCGGGGTTGAGGGTTCACAACGGAGGGCTTAGGGTTTCAGGTTGTGAATATCAGGGCTTCTGTGCCCGAACGCCCGAATCAGGGGGCGGGCAAGCGGCTGCACCTGGTTTCTGGGTAGAGCGATGGCATCCCTGAGACATGTCCGCTATGAGCCCCTGCGGGCCCCAAACCTGCAACCCCGAGACTCAATCCCTTAAACTTTACAAACCCTTCTCCCCAAAACTTCAACCCTAGCCCTGAACCCTCCGAACCCCTGAGCCAAAATGACCCCTAAACCCTCTAAACCCTCTAAACCCCCCTAAACCCCCCCTAAACCCCCCTAAACCCCCCTAAACCCCCCCAAACCCCCCCAAACCCCTTTGGAAGGGACCCGACGAACCCAAGCAAAGCAGCGGGGCTCCCTCGAAGAAGTCTCTCTCTGCAGGACCTCAAAGCCGGCATGTGCAGCGGACTGGAGGCCGGCTTAGGGTTGGGGAAGTATCGTTTTCCTTTATACACTGACTTGTTTATATATATATATATTTCTATATATTTGCATTTCTATTTTAAAAATTATCTTGCAAGGGTATTGGGATTGGGGTTTAGGGTGTAGGGTTTGGGAAGTTTGGGTTTAGGGTTCTTCAGCCATGCAAGATCTACGGAGTTTTTTTTCTCCTTCTTTTTCTGGGACTTTGCGGTTCGGGAGACTTCGGCTTTGGGGGTTTTATGGTTTGGGGGGGCTTGAGGGTTTGGGCGCGCCACGCGAGGTGGACAAGCGTCTGACGTTGCCGACGCGTACCCACATCCGCTTCCTGGTGACGGGCCAGGTCGGGACCCTAAACCCTAAACCCAAAACCCTAAGGCCTTAAACCCTAAACCCTAACCCTTGTGACTCAAAACCCTAAACCCTAAACCCTAAACCCTAAACCCTAAACCCTAAACCCTAAACCCTAAACCCTAAACCCTAAACCCTAAACCCTAAACCCTAAACCCTAAACCCAAAACCGCTCTGAGAGTGCGGGTTCAGTTGTTGCTGAGAGGCTGCAGGCATGGGAGTGAGATATCGGCTTCAAGTTGGGATGTTCCCCCCTTTGCACTAACAGTCCTTTTTAGGGTTTCGGGTTTAGGGTTTTAGGGTTTAGGGGATAAATAATCGGGGGTACGATAATCCCTGTTCAGGACTGGTAGTATAAGGGAGGAACAGCCCAAGCTTCAAGTCTAAAGGTCCCAGGGTTGTTTGGGCAAGCTCGGGGCCATGGTCAGAAGTCAAAGCGGAGTGCTGGCTGTTCAATGGTTGCAGCTGTGGGGCGAGCGTGTTCATTCCTGCCTGTCCCCTCTTGTAGTTCCCTGTCTCGAGGATGTGATTCACTGCTTCTCCGTTCCATCCCTGGGTGTGAAGACGGACGCCACACCCGGGCGCATCAACCGTGCGCTGCCCGCACAGGGGAACTTCGGGGGTTCTTGGCAGGGTTTCGGGCAGTTTTTGGCTCCTTCCGTAACTTCGGAGAGCCAAAACAAGCTTCCAGGCATCAACACCTTCATCCAGCGAGAGGGCGTTTTCTATGGCCTCAGCCCCAGTGACCCTGTGCGTGATTGCCATACTCAGAGTTCTGAATCGCTTTCTGGGGTGATGGCGAACGAAATTGACACGGGCAGTTTTCTTAACCAGGGCCCTCTTTGCAGCCCCATGTGGGGCTTTGAGGCCATGGACGTGCTAGGTAACTTCAATGACTGCTCAGCAAGATGCAACACCCCAAAACCTGGAGGCCCTAAAACCCACAACTTTACCCTGAGCCCGCAGCCCTCAACACTGAGCCTTGCACGCCCCCCGAGGCCAGTGCTCCGAGTTGTGCGGAACGCTCCACGGCTTCATGCCCATCGTTGTCGAGGCCGTTCCTTTCCCTTCCCCCTGGCATAAAGATCAATATCAGCTTCCCCGGCTCAAGGAGGCCCCCCCCTAATGTATTCGCCTTTGGATAACATCGACTACGCCCATGAGGTCCCTATTCTGGCTTTCGACCGTTCACGCTTGCCAGGCCGTCTCTCCCGAGACCTACGCGGCCCATGCGCGCAAGTGGTACAAGGAGTGAGCCGCACGCGCGGCCTTTCCTGTCAGGGCGGCGTTGCGCCCCAAGAATGTGAACCTCAAAGTGTCGGTGCATGTCACGCCGACTCTGCCCATTGTGTGGTGATTGAACCTTCTCCTGTCCTAGGTCGCAGAACCCAGTGCATATGTAGAGTATGCGAGTGTGCTATGATGCTTCAGCTGTTGAACGTCTTTCTGTACATGTCACCCCTCTCCACTTAGTAGCTTTGAGTAGCTTCCAGGTGTAAGTTTCAATCTGGAGAGCGACGTTGCTCCGAGCAGAGAAACAGCTCCCTGCTCAAAGATTGGGCCAAGACACAAGTCAGTGACTAGATTTTGGGGGAGGTGTTCCAGGGCAACTGGGTCATTGGGGTGAAGGAGTGTACAGGCGAGTGTAGGTGGGTCACAGTGGGATCCGAAACGCCTCAATCGGAACTTTGGTTTCAGGGGTTCGGTGCTGATGTCAGTTCTGGGCTTTATTTGGGTTTCTATTCTTGTATGAGTAGGGACTGGTTTAGGGCCATAAATGTCCTAAGCCCTCAATACCCGCTCGGGGTAGGCCAGGCTTCTGTAGACTACGCCGTGCACACCCGGGTAGCGTAGCTACGGTCATGCACTATTTTGCAGGCCCTGTTTGCTGCCATCCACTCATCTTCATCCTCTTGGGGATTTCTTATCGAAGTCGGCGTTTGGGCGGCAGGGCGACTGGGTTAGAATCGGAAGCGCCCCCTTTTGTTCAGGGGAAGGGGTAGAGGCCCGAACCCCGGATGTGAGCCAACCGAACCCTAAACGCCCTAAACCCTAAATCCTAAACCCTAAACCCTAAATCCTAAACCCTAAACCCTAAACCCTAAGCTCTAAGCTCTAAGCCCGAAGCCCTAAGCCTCAAGCTCCAAACCCGCGAGTGAGCTGAGCGTGCCAGGCGAGGCGAGAGGCGAGCCAACTCACGAAGGAGTCGCAGGAGCCTTGTCTTTAGGGTTTCGAGTTCCACCCAAAACACTAAACTTAACAGAAAGGGACCGCTAAACCCTAAACCCGAAACCCTAAGCCCTTTAACCCTAAACTCTAAACCCTCATCCGCGGTGCTACAGGGCGCCCCCTGTACCCAGGAGGCCATGCAGATGATGACCGAGATGCGGAAGGTCGCGAACGGAGGGTTCAGCGCGTTCTAAGGCCCCCCAAACCCTCACGGCCGAAGAATGGACATCCTCAGGGCCTTTACCCGAAGGGTTTAGGGTTTGGGGTTTAGGGTTTAGGGTTACAGAGCCCTAAACCCAAAGATACCCAAAAGTCAGAAGGGGTCTTTTGGCTTCCTGACCATGAACGGATGGACCCTATATGGCTCGTATCTTAGTGGTTTGAGGTAGCCAAATACTATAGTGGCCTTAGTAATTACAACAGGGTTTTGGGGGTTCTTATAGTACCCTAAGCCCTAAACCCTGAACCCTAAACCCAAAACCCTACGACCCTAAACCCCTATAGTAGGCACAAGTTTACCCGAGTTCTCGCCCGACGGCCCCGTTGGAGGCGCATATCCAGGAGGTACGCCTGCTGCAGAAGGGCTTGCAGGCAGAGGGTTTAGGGTTTAGGGTTTAGGGTTTCTGGTTTCGCAGTTGTAAAGGGCTCCGAGGCCTCGCGGGGCCTGTCCTTTCCGAAAATTCAGGCACTTGTGATTTCGGAAAGAAGGGACCCCTAGAATAGGCCCCAATTAGTAAGATTCCCAAGGACTCCAAGAAGGTACCCCAAGGCCCTAAACCCTAAACCCTAAACCCTAAACCCTAAACCGTAGCGGAGATGTTGGAGGCACCGCGGTATTGGTTCCGAGCAGAAGCCTCAAGCATCCGAAGCTCTAGAGCCGAAGCCCTACATGCCGAAATCTTGAGCCCCTACAGTAGCCCAATTCAGTACCCCAGACCGAAACCCGAAACCCGAAACCCTAAACCCTAAACCCTAAACCCTAAACCCTAAACCCTAAACCCTAAACCCTAAACCCTAAACCCTAAACCCTAAACCCTAAACCCTAAACCCTTAGCAAGAAGCCCGAAACTGGAAACCTGACCTTCGCGAGGCGCGCGGCTCCGGCGAGATGCGGTCCTTTGGCGGCCCAGGGCGAGCCCCCAAAGTTTCCGTTTTAAGGTAGGGTTTAGGGTTTAGGGTTTAGGGTTTAGGGTTTAGGGTTTAGGGTTTAGGGTTTAGGGTTTAGGGTTTAGGGTTTAGGGTTTAGGGTTTGATTTTCCCCCTTACGGGAACAGTCCTGAAGGGGGGGGGTACTTTGATCCCTACTGAGGACTGTGAATTTCAGGGGGAACATCCCAAGTTTCGGGCTTAGGGTGAAGAGTGACGAATGATGGACGCTTCGTGGGCCTGTGGTGTGAGACGTTCCTTTGAGTCTAGGATACCCTCCGAGTCATGCTTAAACCCCCCGCACAGAGGTCCATTTGGGAGGTTACGAAAACAAGGGCCCTAGCAGAGTCCCCAGCAGGATTGCCATACAATCAGGACCCCAACAAGGTACCCCTAATTTCGGAAACGCCGATTTATTTTAAGGCTCAGGGAATCAGGATCCGTTTTTTCTCGCCCTTCCTTCCAACCTTTTTAAGGGGTTTTGTTGGGATTGAAAGCTGTTCAGGACTAGGCTTTCGATGGCAGGTGAGGCTCCTGGGCAAGCCTTGCGGCAGTTGTGGTATATGGGGGTTTAGGGTTTACGAAAATAGGGGGAGCCCTGGGAGGCTGAGAAAGGAAGGGTTTAGGAACAAAAGCCCACCGGTGAGCCCTAGCTCAACCCGAAATCCTAACCCTGAACTACATACAACCCTCAGCAAGAGCTACCCACGAACCTTCAAGTGTCATCGCAAGCCCTGAAGCTTCCCCTTTTTTCTGCGCCCGCCGACCAAGGAACAAGGTGAACGAGGTGGGCGCTGTTTCTCAAGTTAGGTTCCCTTTTTGGGCGTACTTTTGTGCAATAGCGGCCTTTAACCCTAAACCCTACACCCTGAACCCTAGATTCGACAGTACTCAAAAGGGAGCATCAAAAAGAGAACGGGCCAGGTTTAGGTAGGGTTTGGGGTTGAAGGTTCCGGGTTTACCGTTTTAGGTTTAGGGTTTAGGGTTTGGGGCACTGAGGGGCCTTCACGTGTGTGGGCTGAGCGGCAAGGTTTATGCTGCGATTTGCTGGGGGTGGGGGGGAGGGGGGAGGGGGAGGGGGGGGGGGCAAGCAAATGGGGCAGCAAGGGATGAATTCCCGAATCATGCCGGCCCAAGTCGCTCCCACCACTTGCAACAATGCCTTGTCCTGGAAGCCCTACTGCTCTTCCAGATGGTTGTGCGCTGTGCGCTCCTGCTCCCCTTAAGCCCGGAAACCCTAACACCTAAGCCCTAAAACCCGAAAACTTTAAACCCTAACCCCCTAAACCCTAAGACCAAAAACCGTAGACCTTAAATCCCCAAACCCGGGAAAACCCCAAGGCCTATAAACCCTAGAAACCCTAAAGCCCTAAAGTCCTAAACCCGACAACCAACCCACAACCACACCGTATGCATGCATGCATGTATGTATGTATATATATATATATAGATACATGTATCCCCCCCCCCCCCCCCATAAGCCCGAACTCCAACCCTCCCGTAGCCCCCCAAAACCCCGACGTGTCGCGAGACTCTGCAACAGTTGGCTGTGTGGGCCGAGGGTTGCAGAGTTGGATTCAAACCCTAAACCCTAAACCCTAAACCCTAAACCCTGAACCCTGAACCCTAAAGCCCAAGGGGCAGTTTGCCTAGCAAGCTTGGGACCCGAGATTACACCCCGTAGCAGCACTCGTGTTCCTAGGATCCTAAAGACCCCTGAGCCTGCCCCCCGCGACGACACAACGTCGCGACCTGCTGGGAAGCTCGGTGAAGGGCTTAGAAACCCAAAACCCTCAACCCAAAACCCTGAACCCGAAACCCTTAACACAACTCACAAAAACCTAAGCCCTGAACCCTAAACCCCAAAAAAACCTAAGGGCTTAGGCGCATCCTCTAGCCCACAGGTGGCCGACCTCGTAGATAAGCTCGGCCGAGCGGTACTTCAAAGGGATGAAAACATCCGGGAGAAGACGAAGGCGCAGGCGCAAGTGCTCAGAGGGTTCCGTGGTTTTCTTTATGTCATATTTGAGGTTGAGGGTTTAGGGTTTAGGGTTCCTAAACCCTAAGCCCCCCTCCACCCCAAGGATCCCTCAAAATGCTGCTCCTCCTGCTGCTACCTTTGTGGGGGCCTGGAAGCCTTTTGGGATTGGGTGCAGGTTATTTCAGTTTAGGGTTTAGGGTTAAGGGTTTAGGGTTTAGGGTTTAGGGTTGCAACGTGCAAAGGTGCCAATCAACTCCTCGGGCCCTCTTGGTTGTGCAATTGAGCCGGATGGGGGTTTTAGGGTTTAGGGTTTGTGAGGTTCGAACCCTGAGCTTTGGACCCTAAGACCCCAGACCCTGAAAGCTCTTGAACCCTAAAGCCCTGAGCTTCAAAACCCTACTCTCCAAAGACCTAGACCCTGACAGTTTGGGATGTTCCCCTTATACTACCAGTCCTTGATAGGGATCACAGAGCCCGCTTTTGTAATCCCTAGAAAGGACTGTTAGTAAACGGTGGGAAAATCTTAACCCTAAACCCTAAACCCTAAACCCTAAACCCTAAACCCTAAACCCTAAACCCTAAACCCTAAACCCTAAACCCTAAACCCCAAACCCCAAACCCTAAACCCTAAACCCTAAACCCTAAACCCTAAACCCGAAACCCTTAGTAGGTACCATGAACCTCCAAGTTCCAAACGCCAAGGTGCGGCTCACCAAGGTTGAGGCGGACCTCCGTGCGCTCTCGGAGGAGTGTGGCCGGTTAAAAAGGCTGGCGGGGGGTTAGGGTTTAGGGTTTAGGGTTTAGGGTTTAGGGTTTAGGGTTTAGGGTTTGAGGTTCAGGGCTTCGGATGCTGCGCCGAGCCCCACACCACACCTTTTTTTCTACCACGTACCAGATCCTACAAGCCGGCAGACCATGATTTGGGGCTAAGGTTTCCGATACGGCAGCCCTGTTTTGGGTTCAATTCGGGTTGTGGAGTTGAGGTCTGTTCTTTTGGGTTCACCCTCCTCCCCCCCATACGCCCTGAGGCCTCCAGCCTATTTATTTTAAATAAATTGAAGCTAGCGAAAAACCAAAGAACCTTAAACATCAGAATATTTCTCAAAACATGGAAAATAAGCAATTAAAAAAATTTGTTTGTAAGTTTTTTAAAGTGATATACTTCAATACAAGATAATTATGCATTGAAAATATCGATGAGACATTAAACCCATTTAATAAGCTTAACAAGGCTTTCAACCCCCGTATATATATATATATATGTATATATATATATATGTATAGAAAATATGTGTACATATTTTTTTACACATATATACATATATATTGCTGCGGATATCTAAGGGAGGGTATCAGACCGTAGTGAAGATGACAATTTAAAGCATTGACCAGCTGAAAAGCCTGGAGCCTCATGTGCCAGGTTTCCAGTTTTGGGCTTCTTGCTAAGGGTTTAGGGTTTAGGGTTTAGGGTTTAGGGTTTAGGGTTTAGGGTTTAGGGTTTAGGGTTTAGGGTTTAGGGTTTAGGGGTTAGGGCCCAGGCCCTCGTTAATTATTCTTAGTTAAGGGCAACAAGTATGAAGTGGCCTTTTAAGATGCGCCCACAAACAGCGTTGATTGTCTTGCGCGGCCACACGAAGAGCGGACGAAAAAGAAACCTTTGCCCCTCTCCTCCCACCCCCCGCCCCCCTACGCCCACGAATCCCACCCTAAACCCTAAACCCTAAACCCTAAACCCTAAACCCTAAACCCTAAACCCTAAACCCTAAACCCTAAACCCTAAACCCTAAACCCTAAACCCTAAACCCTAAACCCTAAACCCTAAACCCTAAACCATAAACACTACACCCTAAACCCTAAACCCTAAACCCTAAACCCTAAACCCTAAACCCTAAACCCTAAACCCTAAACCCTACACCCTAAACCCTAAACCCTAAACCCTAAACCCTAAACCCTAAACCCTAAACCCTAAACTCTAAACCCTAAAACCTAAATCCTAAAACCTAAATCCTAAACCCTGAGCCGGCGCACCCTGGTAGGCAGAACAAGTCGCTCAGCGACCAGCTTAGAGAGGCCAACCGGAGAGCCAGGAGCCCAGGTTCCAGGGGTGTAGGTTTAGGGTTTAGGGTTTAGGGTTTAGGGTTTAGGGTTTAGGGTTTAGGGTTTAGGGTTTAGGGTTTAGGGTTTAGGGTTTAGGGTTTAGGGTTGTAGAGGTCTTCTTCTTCGAGCTTTTGGGCTTCATGGCCGTTTTTTGGGTTGAGGGCTTTCGTAAGGGACTTCACTCAAGGGTTCATGTAGCTTTGTTATTTTCTGGGCTTTCACCAGAATCTTGGGGATTGGTGGACCCCCTGAAGCCGTCCTGAGGCCTTTCTTTCGCATTGTGTATGCGATATCAAGTTTAGTCGGATATAGAGGTATTCTAGTACATACCATAGGGTATGTGTGTCTATGTGCACATATATGTGTATAAAAACATCAATGGTGAATTATGTACTCTTGTCTCATCTATTACATATCCTATACTAGACATATTTTATGTTAGGTGTTATCCTGTATATACCTTCTATATACCCTAAACCCTAAACCCTAAACCCTTAACCCTAAAACCTAAATAATCTACGGAAGATATGTAGTTTGCTTGGGGCATCCTGGGGCCTGTCCCACTCAGCTTTCGGCTCTGCAGCACACGTAGGTGTTGTCCAGCTGTCTGGAGTCTACAGAATCCTAGGGTTTAGGGTTTAGGGTTTTATGGTTTAGGCTTTAGGGTCGTTGAAAGACACCATCTGATTCTGTCGACCGGAGCGTGCTAATTTCATTTGGCACCTATCCTTGGTGTGGTTGCTTCCCGCACGTGCGAGATTTCGAGCCATGGCCCGCGCCCCACGGCCGAGGTGCATCTTCTGCAGCCTTGCGATCTGCGCCCTCGCTCTGCCCTGCGCCTTCCTGCTCGGGGTTCCCGGGAATGGGGCCCCGAAGAGGGTCGCGAAGAGGGTGCGGACCGCCCGCAGCGCCGCGGATGCCACGGACGCCCTGGGCGCGCTCGAGAGCCTCGACGCCTCCACCCTGCTGGGCGGTGTGGTGGCCGCGGGCTCTGCTTTCGCCGCGTTCCAGGCCTTCCAGGGTCAGCGGAGGGCCGCGCTGAAGCAGGACCTCCTGTCTGCCGTTGAGGCCTCGCAGCGGGGAGCGGACTTGGCTCAGAACGATCGGATCAGCGCACTTTTCGCAGAACTGGAGGCAGTGAATCCTATACCTGACCCCCTGACGAGTGGAGTTTCGCAGCTGAAGGGTGATTGGGAGCTTCTCTGGACCACCAGCAGCGCCATACTCGGCCTCGGCCGGCCGCCGTTCATCCGGCCAGCACAAGACAGGCCCATCCTGCAGTACCTGGACCCCGTAGGAGGCGTCGCACGGAACCTGGAGTTCACGCCTCTCGGCCCGAACCGCGTGGACGCGGAGATCCTGCCCCTGGGCCCAGAGCAGCGTGAGGCCTTCGTCTCGCGCCTCGATGACTTCCTCCTCTTCAAGCAGGGGGCCGAGGAGAGGCCCGGAGGAACCTACCTACCACAAGTGGAGGGCCTGGAGAGGACCACGGTGGGAGTTCGATTCAGGGTCTTCACCCTCTTCGGCCTCTTGCCCATCCCGGCGCCCGACTCTGCCACGGGCATCCTGCAGGTGACCTACCTGGATGAGGACCTCCGGCTGAGCCGCGGCGACCGCGGGAACCTCTTCGTCCTCCGCAAGGTGAGCTCGGAGATGAGCGCCTGAGAGGGCCCCAGAAAAGCGAGCAATGCAGCGTTGTGGTGTCTTCTCGGCTGTGCAGCTGTATTATAATCATATCAGATTAGAATGATAGAATTCCCCAATAGAATACAATAGTATAGAAATATATCAGCATAGAATGATGTAATTCTACAATAGTATACAATCGTATAATCATATCCCCTGTGTTGGCAAGTGAGGCCAAGTTCGTGCCTCCACGGCCAGATGCCGATGCCCCTGACGATAGCGACGAGGCGCCAGAAGCCAGGTGGTTGCATGAGCCGGCGTTCGCTCCCCCAAGGCCCTAAACCCTAAAGCCTAAACCCTAAACCCTAAACCCTAAACCCTAAACCCTAAACCCCCCCCAAATGTTCCTCATCCCGAGGAGTTCGAGCACGAGCTCCTGGCTTTCGAGCAGAGGCCCCGCGCTGCGATGCAAGACGCCCTCCCCAGAGACTCCAAGACCCCTTAATGAAGCAATGTACCTTAAACTATAGTAGGAACCCTAAGATGATTTAAGGTATATTCCTTAATTAAGCAATATACCTTAAATTATAGTAGGAACCCTAAGATGATTTGAGGTATATTCCTTAATTAAGGGGTTTTGGAGTCTCTGGGTCCAACATCCCGTCTTCAAGCCCGAGCGAACTCCCTCAAGAAACCCTGCGAAGCAGGGTTTAGGGTTTAGGGTTTAGGGTTTGGGGAAACCCTAAACCCTAATCCCTAAACCCTAAACCCTAACCCCTAAACCCTAAACTCGAAACCCTAAACCCTAAACCCTAAACTCAAGAGCCTTGCACAGGTTCACCATCCTAGAAGAGGGCCCCGCAGGCCTCGACATCCTTGCGAGCAATCTCTCCAAGGACTGGGTTCAATCGGAGACCCACGAAGCGTGAGTGCAACCCCTTGCTCAGTAACATGGTCGGTTTAGGGTTTAGGGTTTAGGGTTTAGGGTGTATGTGGCAGGTGTGTTCCTTAGTTAAGGGTTCCCTTAGGAAGTGCTTCGGGGTGTAGAGTTCGAGGTCAGCTGGGGGCAGGGTTCAGGCTTCAGAAGTTGGACCCTAAATCCTAACCCTGAACCCTCAACCCCAAACCCTAAACCCCTAATTCCTAAATCCAAAACCCCTAAACCCCTTAACCCTAACCCTAAATCCTAAACCCTAAACCCCAAGCCGCCCAAGTACCGCACAAGGACCCGCACAGCCGAGCCTGTCGAGCCAACAGCGTAATGTAGGGGGTCGGAAGAATTTCTAGTAGGGTTTAGGGTTTAGGGTTAAGGGTTTAGAGTTTAGAGTTTAGGGGTAGGGGTCGGAATACTTACTATATAATAGTATTCCCTTAGGGTCCCTTTATAGTTATACTACAATAACCCCCCAAAACCCTATTCTGATTTTTCAGGCCCCTGTGTTCGATGGAGAACTGGCATGCTTGTTTTTTTTTGTGCGTGCAGGGACATGTTAGATGTTCTTTATCCTGGCCAAAGCCCAAGAGGCAAACCGGATCCAAGAAGCACTGGGAGTGCCTTTCAATTAGGATTTAGGGTTAAGGGTTTAGGGTTTAGGGTTTCGGGTCTCTTTCCCGTTTGCAGTTGCGAGGACAAGCTCAACTTGGAGAAGAGGCTGAAGTCGTCCAACGAGGCGCACGCTCAGCGTCGACCCCGCTCTCACTCGTGTCGACGTGTTCCTCCTTCCTTTACCTGCTTCAACTCTTGCCAGTGAGTCTACCTCAACATTTGAAAGGCGTCTTGTTGCGGTTGGACTAGAGCAGCCCCTTAATAGACCATTGCTATACCTTTGCCTTTCTGCCCCAAAAAAGGAACCGTCCCAACTTTCTGGGGCTTATTGTACGGGGCACGAACCCAGGGGTGCTAAGCCCACAGCAATTCAAGCCACTAGGTTTAGGGTTTAGGGTTTAGGGTTTAATTAGGGTTTAGGGTTTAGGGTTTAACTAATTAATTCAACCCTAAACCCTTAATGAACCCTTAATAAACCCAGCAATACAAGGCCCGTCCCGAGAAATGCCAGGTCTCGGCAAAGTGCTGAAAGCTCAGGGTTCAGGATTTAGGGTTTAGCTTGGCACATCGGACTTGGTTTAGGGTTTAGGGTTTAGGGTTTAGGGTTTAGGGTTTAGGGTTTAGGGCTTAGGGATCCTCTGCCCGAAACGCTGAATCTTCCATCGGCTCTCCAGAACGTCGACTCGCTGACAGCCTCCGTCGGCGGGTGGAAGCGGCTGAGTGAGGAGAAGGCGCGCCGGAGAGTCCTAAACCCTAAACCCTAAACCCTAAACCCTAAACCCTAAACCCTAAACCCTAAACCCTAAACCCTAAACCCTAAACCCTAAACCCTAAACCCTAACCATAAACCCTAAACCCTAAACCCTAAACCCTAAACCCTAAACCCTAAACCCTAAACCCTAAACCCTAAACCCTAAACCCTAAACCCTAAAACCCTAAAACCCTAAACCCTAAACCCTAAACCCTAAACCCTAAACCCTAAGCCCTAAACCCTAAACCCTAAGCCCTAAGCCCTTAGCCCTTAAATCCTGAACCCTGAACGCCTCGAAGTTGCTGGTTGACGAGGTATGGACCCTGAGCCCTAAGGCGCTAGAGTCTTCAACTCTAAGCTACAACAACCCAAGCCCTGGAAGGTTTTTTGGGTTGAGGGTTTAGGGTCCTAACTCATCCTAAGTCCTAAGCAAGAGGACTTAGAGATCTCCGACCTCACCACCAAGCTGGATCAGATGATGCGCGAGCACGTCCGTTTCCCAGGGCGCCTGCTATCGACTCCAGAGTCAAAGGGCTTTTAGGAATTTTGAATAAGGGCTTCTAGGAAATTTAAATACAGGCTTTTAGGAATTTTAGATAAGGGCCTTTAGGAATTTTAAATACGGGCTCTTGGGAGTTCAGGCTGGTTTAAAGGATCTGTGCCGGTTCAGGAAACCCAGGCTTTGCTGTGTAGGGCGCCGGAGGATTCCAATATCCGCAGGGTGCCAAGTCGTGGTATGTTTTGGGCTTGAGGTGCATTTGGGGCTTGTTCGGGGTCTGTATCCTTCTCCTCTTGCTGGACTGTACTTGGACATCTTAAGACTCATCTTCGCTACAAGAGGTAGATGTAACTGGGGGGCCCCAGAACCAAACCCTAAAAGCCCAAGCCCTCCAACCCAACACCCTGAAGCCCTCAACCCTAAACCCTAAACCCTAAACCCTAAACCCTAAACCCTAAACCCTAAACCCTAACCCTAAACCCTAAACCCTGAACCCTGAACCCTAAACCCTAAACCCTAAAACCACTCCAAAATCGATTCGCAAGGCCTCGCTTTGACACCGCACACAGAGCCTGGAGTCCCCAGGGTGTGGAGGGATGTTGCGTGGTGTTTCAGGGTTTAGGGTTTAGGGTTCAGGGATGTTTAGGGGTTGCAGTAGGCTTTAGGGTTCAAGTAGGGTTTGGGGTTGAATCTGGGTTTCGGTAAGAAGGCTCGCAATCCGAGCCTCCTTCGCACAATGCCCCAATCCCTGGGCAACCCTCTTGGAGGTTCACTGGTAGTTCTAGTTTGGAATCTAAGTAGGGAAAGTCCAGTCGTAACTTGTCTGCTGCAGTCTTTGGTTCGAGCTGTCGTGCCACTGCTTGATTTGTCTTTCTGAGTGTCTTGGCTGACTGGCAGCTGGTGGGATGAGCTTTCTGCTCGGCGGGTGTTTTCTGCATGGCCGGTGGAAGGACTTGGAGAGCAGCAACATCTACATTGTCACGAACCCTGATTCAGACAACCCGTATATACGCCTTTTGACCATCGTGAACAATCCTGCAAAGGATGACCGACGGGACTTTGAGATCCGAAGAGCAGGCAACGGAAGCACACAAATGATACCCATGATGCACAAGGACACGCTGGGGAAGGAGACCACCTATGACCTTTATATTGACCACTCCATTCCAGGTCGGATCATTTGGTACAGCCCAACGACAGGCAGACGACGCACTTGGCAGTTCATGTTGCAGGCATGGAACACCACGTTGGTCCAGCTGACTGGCGAAGTTGACGGCGAGGTCCTTCGGCTGGCCATGTGGAAGCTCACAGGCGAAGAGATTTCGAAGGTTTCCATGCATCGAAGGACGAGCTGGCGGGATGCCAGGAGGTTGATGGTGCCTGGTCTTCGCCCTCTCCTCTCAAAGAAGCTGGCTTTCGTGTCACCTCTGGGAGAAGTCCTCGCAACACCGCACAATGAGCGGCCACTCGGGGAGCTCTTGGGCTGTGCATGTGAGCCGGAGCCAGATGAAGCGTGGAGGCGTTTCCAGTAGCCGCTATCTGAGGTCGCTTCGGCGCCGGGAGTCGTTGCATGTAGCATCACTTCAGGCGTCGTTTCAGGGATGACCTCCCAGCTGCTCAAAACATGCCGGACACCCCGCCACCGCTACAAGCAGCTCAGGCGCACGGATTTTATAGGTGTGAGGGTGCGGTGCCGTGAGCTTGGGGCGGTCTGTCAGGTCTCACATTTTCGGAGCCGCAAAGGTGCCACAGCTCTCAAGTCATTCGTGCCACAGGTCACGTGAAGCTCTCGATCTACCAGTACATTGCTCGTATAATTCGTATCGTTCGTGTCGTACTCTGTTGTTTCTTCTTACCTTCATTGTCGCTGTTCCAAGGGCGGTCTCGAAAGCGAGCTTCGGCCAGTTGCCTACTGGCACAGGCAGGCAGCTCTCTGAGCTTGTATTCGGGCAGTGAGGTACCTCACCCGTGACGGCCGCTTTTTCGCTAGTCCACTTTTTCAGGCATATGTTCACTTCGCGCAACTACAAAAGCGGTCAGTGTTGACTGCTCAATGATCCGCGCACAAGCGCGCAAACTACTAAGCTGTACCACAGCCTGGTAATACCTGCGGGTGCTGCTCAATGATCCCTGCTGCTTTCAGACCCGGAAGTAGTAGCCTCTTTCAAACCTCGTGTTTTCACACCTTCAGACAATCCTGGGTGTAGCACACACAGGACCTGCGCGACTGAGCAGTGGTTGGCTGCGCAAGACCCGGGTCATGACATATGTTGATACATGGAAACCCTAAACCCTAAACCTTAAGCCCTAAACCCTAAACCCTAAACCCTAAACCCTAAACCCTAAACCCTAAACCCTAAACCCTAAACCCTAAACCTTAAGCCCTAAACCCTAAACCCTGAAGGCAGTCATGGCCCATCGCCGCGGTTGAATTTCAATAATTTCAGGAGGAACGGAACCGGTCAGACCTTCGCGGGTTTGGATCCACATGGCCTTGATGGCCGGCAGACGCCTGCAGGGTAATGTAGGGTTTAGGGTTTAGGGTTTTATATTTTAGGGTAAAGAAGGTTTAGGGCGATTGAAGGGTGTGCTTATGGGGGAGATTGGGGCACAGAGCACTTCCGAAGTAATTAATGCCCTGTAGGTTGCAAGCTTTTTGCCCTTGTTCGCCGACTGCTGCACTGACATGACACCTGGCAGAGAGAAAGCACCGGACCTGTTGCATCATCACCTCTCGGTGCCTCGTATAGCTCTACTTGTAATAAAGCCCATGAGCCTAAGCCTTAAGCCCTAAACCCTAAACCCGACACCTTAAACCCTAAACCTTAAACCCCAAACCCTAAACCCTAAACCCCAAACCCCAAACCCTAAACCCGAAACCCCTTAAGCCCTTAAGCCCAGGCCGCCCTCGAGGAGGCCATCGCGCAGAAGCGTCGTGAGATCGAGCAGCAGGCCCCTTTTTGCCCAATGTGGGGGTCCCCCAATTGCAAGTTGTTTAGGGTCTAGGGTTTAGGGTTTAGGCTTAGGGTTAGGGTTTAGGGTTTAGGGTTTAGGGTTTCAAGTTTGGTGGGTTTAAGAGGGGTTCAAGGTCTAGATGGCCTACTTACCAGCTCTGAGCTGTTGAAGGGAAATCGTTTAGGGTTTAGGGTTTAGGCTTTAGGGTTTAGGGTTCGGGCTGTTGGGTGCAGGGTTTCAGGTTTGGCTGTGCCTTACATCATAGTTGGCTGAGAGCCTGGCTCGCCTGAACCACGAAAGGGATGGGCCGACCTTCTCTGCCCACCCTTCCCCTACTCCCTCCCCTACCCGTTGACCCCCCCCCCCTCCCCTATCCGAAACGTGTCCCGAAACCCGAAGGGACGCGATTCAGAAGTCCGACCGCGCGATTCAGAACTGGACGCGATTCAGGAAACCAGTGTTCAGGAAGCTCCGGCGATTCATTCCGGAAGCAAGCGATTCAGGAATTCGCGCGATTCCGGAAACTGCCCGATTCAGGAACCACGGGGGGTGGGTCGAAGGGTTGGGGTTGCGGGGTTTGCGGGGTTTGCGGGGTTGGGGTGGGGTGGGGTGGGGTGGGGGGGGTGGGGGGAGGTGATCGCGTTTCATGTCCAGGGCGCTTTCGGAAAGTTTTGCGCTTCCCGTATCCGCGCGTTTTACAGCTTCCAGACGAATCCGCGTTTTTTTGGTTTCCCGGAACCGTGGTTTCCAGTTTTCCTTTGTTTCTCGAATCCGCGATTTCCAGTTTCCCGAATCTGCGCTTCTTCGGTTTCCCGAATTACGTGTTTTCCAGTTTCAGTTGCCGAACCCGCTGCTGACCCTGAAGCCCTTAAAGCCGTACTGAACTGAAACTTCACAGCCCACCCTCACAGCCCCTCGAAAGCCCAGAGCCCCTGCGCCCTTTCTCCCGCTCCCCCGCTTTCCGGGCTCCTGGGGATTCCGGGCTCAACTCTAGACCCTAAACCCTAAACCCTAAACCCTAAACCTCTAGGGGGTAACAGGTAAAGAGGCCACCGGCCTTTACAATCTAAACCCTAAACCCCAAGCAAGGAGGCGTTCAGAGGGCAGACCCTGAGGCTTAAAAGGGGCTGTTTCTCCTTCTTCTTCAAGGTTGTCAAGACTTCTTCCTTGCTCCTTGCACCTTGTAGGGCTGTCCCCCCCCCCCCCCCCAACCTCTCGCTTTAGGGCCCAGGGCAAAAAGGGGGGATGCCGGGCGAACACAAGCCGAAGCCCAGAAGATGGCAAGCCCTAAACCCCCCAAGAAGGCATGTACTGGGTGGCAGAGCCCGACTCTGAAACGGAGGTTGCGATGGTGAGCCCTACGCCCGCAAGGCAACCCTACTAGGTCACTAGGTGCCAAAGAAGAAATCTTGCGGTACAGATCCGGAACCCCTCCCTCGCCCTACCCCCAAAAAGAAGTGGAGACCCCCAACCCCCAACCCCCAACCCCCAACCCCCAAACCCTAAACCCTAAACCCTAGACCCTAAACCCTAAACACCTAAACAGAGACGTCGGCTGGGAAGGCCCATGCCCTCAACAAAATTGAGGGTGGCACGCCCTCAAAGCCACGAAAAGAGCGGCAGGTAACCCTAACCTCTGAGCGCGAAGGTCTAAGCCCGAAAACCCTAAACCCTAAACCCTAAACCCTAAACCTTAAACCCTAAACCCTAAACCCTAAACCCTAAACCCTCTATGTTTCTGTGAGGTGGCTGAGGAGAAGGCGGCTCTGGAGGAGAAGATTCAAGAGCTGCAGCTCGAGTGGTCGTCTCCCCAGCTCTTCTGGGGACTTTTGGTGGGGCGGTTTAGGGTTTAGGGTTTAGGGTTTAGGGTTTTAGGGTTTAGGGTTTAGGGTTAGGGACCCTTGTTGCCACCCTTCGGGTTTGAAAGGGGGAGGGTTTAGGGTTTAGGGTTTCGGGTTTGGGGTTTAGGGTTTAGGGGTTGCGGGCTTTGGTGGGGTTTGGGTTTAAGGGCTATTTAGGGGTGTACGCTGGTACCCTGCCCCATATGTCTTGGCTGTTGAACGTAACCTGCACTTAAGGGTTCCTAAACCCTACAGTACGCCCTGTGCCCCAAACCCTAAACCCCAAACCTAAACCTCAAACCCTAAACCTCAAACCCTAAACCCTAAGCCCTAAACCCTAAACCCTAAACCCTAAACCCTAAACCCCAAACCCTAAACCTCAAACCCTAAACCCTAAGCCCTAAACCCCAGATGGGAACCTTGTTTCTTGGGCTCTGCATGGGCCAGCTGGTCGGTTTCAGGGTTGAGGGAGGCATGGCTTCCTTTTGGTGGATTGAGGCTTTCGGGGGGCGCAGGGGTTTTGGGTTTAGGGTTTTGGGTTTAGACTTTAGGGTTTAAGGGTTAAGGGTTTACGGTTTAGGGTTTTGGGTTTGGAGGCTTAGGGGTTTGGAGGGTTTAGGGCCTTAGTAGGCAGATGTGTAAGTGATGCAGCAGAACTCGGCGGATATGTTCGTCTGCTAGCGAAGCCGCCGCAAGCCCCTACGCAGCAGCGCAGCTGCCTTAGCCCAGTTGAATGCAAGCTTGCGGCAGTCCCATAGCTTGGTGAAGAACCCCCCCCCTTCAACTCTAAACCCTGAACCCTAAACCCTAAACCCCCTCCCCAACGCCTCTCGGTCGAAATCGCCGGGAAAGCTCCGCTCAGTGACAACGCTCGCGCCATCAGCGATGGCATGGACAAAGCGAGCAACCGTGTGCAGAAGGCGGGCCGCTGCAGGGATATGGAGGCAACAAGACGCCTAAATCCTGCGGTGAAATCACGGTCCATGACATTTCTGGGTTCAGTTCCGTCTGGTTTCGAGGCATGGCTGATTGTGCACTATACAGCCTGGAATGTCCTAGAGTGTGGAGCAAACACTAACAATCCCAAGCAGCTGTGTGGACACCAACCCTAAGCCCCCACAATCCGCCCACCCTAAATCCCAAAACCCTCTGAAGCGGGGGGAGTATGTCGGTTGAGGATCTTAAGGTTGGGGGCAGACACGGGAATCATGATTGAGGTTTGCAGCCAGTGCAACTTGACTCCTAGACCAAGGGTTTGAGTCAGGTTTAGGGTTTGGGGAGGGGGAGGGTGGGTTTCTTCAGGGTTTAGGGCTTGGGGCGGAGGGTGCCCCAAGCCAACCCTCAACCCTCAACCCCACAGCCCTAAACCCGTTGAAAGCTCAGCTCCGTCGCCGCAGCGGGCTTCGAAAATGTGCATCGTGTCTGTCCTCTGAAGGAAGGTAGGCACAATTCATCGCGGGCCGTCCCCTGCCCATAACTTTTTTAGAGGTGCCTTGGCTTTGGATTCAGTGTAATGACAGGATTCAGGCTTCGGGCTTCGGGCTTGGCTCAGGATTCAAGACAGACTGTAAACCCTAGACCCCACTTTGCCCGGCATGTGTCGGAGGCTCTTCCTCTTTAATTTAAGGATGGCCTAAGCCCAAAGTCCTAAGCCATCGGCCTGAACCCCAACCAAGTTGTTTGGCTCCCGTAGCGTTTAGTGTGGTAATCTGAGCATGAGGCGTTTTTTTGTTGGTCGAGAGTTTTGGGTTTTTCAGGATTTGGGGCTTCCGCCGGAAGCCCAACAACCCTGAAACCTCAAAAGACCCAGCCCTTAAAACCCCTTAACGCTGAAGGCTTAGACACAACAACCCTGACCCCCTCAACCCTGAAATCCTAGGCCCCAGCACCCGCAACGCCAAGCTCAGTCCAAGTCACATATGGGGTTTCCGAAAATAGGGGTACCCTTCTTGGGGGGTCCCTTTAAAGGGGATTCTATTCCATTTGGGTCATAGAAGGGGTACCCCTATCTTGGGAAATGCCCATATCTGATATGTTCAGGGGACATTTGGGACACCTGGGACACTTGGAACACAGCCCCGATCTTTGGCTCGAGCCCGCAGCCTGAACCCCGAAACTCCAGCGCCCTTGGATCAAGGTTTCGGAAGGTGTCGTTTGTCGGCCAGCCCTTTGAAACCCTAAGCCGGAAAACCCTAAACCCTAAACCCTAAACCCTAAATCCTAAACCCTAAACCCTAAACCCTAAACCCTAAACCCTAAACCCTAAACCCTAAACCCTAAACCCTAAACCCTAAACCCTAAACCCTAAACCCTAAACCCTAAACCCTACACCATAAACCCTAAACCCTAAACCCTAAACCCTAAACCCTAAACCCTAAACCCTAAACCCTAAACCCTAAACCCTAAACCCTAGACCCTAGACCCTAAACCCCAAACCAAGTCACAAACTCCTTGGAGTCGAGGATGAAATTTGGGAAGCTCATCAAGCGTGTCGCGCCACCCTCGCTTCTGAACCAGTACGTCGCGTACGATGTGCTCAAGAAGGCGTTTAGGGTTTAGGGTTTAGGGTTTAGGGTTTAGGGTTTAGGGTTTAGGGTTTAGGGTTTAGGAGGCTCATGGGCAGTTACTTATAAGTAGGTTGTATCTGCGGTTCTAAGAATGTTTTGCAGGTGCTAGGTTTTCTCTCGGTTTAAGGTTGATGGTTTCGATTTCTTAGGCAGTCAAGAATCGCAGGAGTAACCCCGACACCCAAAACCAAAACCCTAGCATTTGAACCCTGGATTCGGGAGCCAACAGATTGCGGCGGATTGGATAAGGGTTTGTTGTATATTTTCTTGTACATTACATTGTGTTACATCAGAGGTTAGAGATTAAATACGGTCTTTATGACGTACATAGCGTATCTTGTTGTTGTATATTTCATCTTATTTGGGTCCAGAGGGAATCTGCTTTAGCCCCAGAGCATGACACGCCATCTTAAATCCCGCACGCAACCCCCCCCCACCCCCCCCCCTAGGAAGAAAGCGCAATTCTCAAACCCTAAACAATAGGACCTAAACCCTAGACCCTAGACCCTAAACCCTAACTCCAGAAGACGGTTTGTCTCATATGAGGGTTGTCGGTTTAAGGTGCCTTAAGGTTCCGGGAGGTTCGGGGGTGGACATAAGCAATACGGGAGCCTAGATCGATACCAGTACCATCCGTTCCGTCGCTGCCGCATCCGCATTGCCCTGGAGCCTAAGCCCTGAGCCCTTAACCCAGATGCCAAAGTCTTAGCCTCCACAAGCCTAACCCCCCAAGCCCCATTTTACATCCCTAAACCTCGCACCCCAGACCTGGGGCCTCTCTACCAGCCCTAAACCCTAAACCCTATACCATATACCGACTTCTGCCATATAACCTAAACCAGATGGTGATTTCTCTGAGTGATGGTCCCTTTTGAAGTCCTTATTATGAGGTGCCCCCTCTTATCTAGGGTACCCCATAATTTCGAGATCTGACCATCTATCCCTTTTGTGGTACTTTACTGTAACTTTAGATCCTTACCTTTTTTGGGTTTATTGGGTTTCTTATTAAGGCAGCTAAAAGTTTAATTTATAGCTACCCTCCTGAGTGCAGCCAAGGTCTGAGGGTAGCTTCATGGGCCCATAACATGGTCCCTTACCCTCAGAGTGGGCTCTGATGTATGGGCCCTTAATTTGTGTAGAGTATGTAGGGGTATATAACGGGTCCCCTTTTAAGGGCCCATCTTAAGGGACCATACTACTATGTCCCCCTTGGGAATTATCTTTCTAAACTTTTGTTTATATAAAAACCCAAGAGGATATCAAAAACATTCTTCTTCTTATCATTATTAAGGTTCTCAGGGAGTATAGGCTAAGGAACCATGTAACCCTAAACCCTGAACCCTAACCCCTAAACCCTAAATACCCTAAATACCCTAAATACCCTAAATACCCTAAATACCCTAAATACCCTAAATACCCTAAATACCCTAAATACCCTAAACCCTAAACCCTAAACCCTAAATACCCTTAGAATTTACCAGGCCATTGCCATCCTCCAGGACTGCGCTGAGCGCTGTGACACGTCCTTGCGCCTCACCCTGGCCCTGCAAGCCCAGGGTGTAGGGTTTAGGGTTTCTGAGCGGTGTTGGGTTTAGGGTTTAGGGTTTAGGGTTCAGGGTTTAGGGATTAGGGAGGTGTTGGATGCGGGGTTCCAGAGGTGTTGGGTTTTGGGCCTGAGCAGAGATGGCCTTGCGCTATGCGCTAGACAACTTCCCCCGAAGCCCAAACCCCCCAAACCCCCTAAACCCCCCAAACCCCCCAAACCCCCCAAACCCCCCAAACCCCCCAAACCCCCCAAACCCCCCAAACCCCCCAAACCCCCCAAACCCCCCAAACCCCCCAAACCCCCCCAAACCCCCCAAACCCAAAACCCCCCCAAAACCCCGCAAACCCCGCAAAACCCGCAAACCCCGCAAACCCCCCACCCCCAAACCCCCCAAACCCCCCAAAAACCCCCCAAACCCCCCAAACCCCCCAAACCCCCCAAACCCCCCAAACCCCCCAAACCCCAAACCAGAAAGCCTCAGCACGCTAGACTCGCTAGACCCTGGCCCAAGCCTCAAGCCTGAGTTGAACCCTGAAGACCTCAACCTAAGCCTTGTGCAGGAAGCTGAGAAGAAGCGCTCAGAAGAGGCATCTTCATCTGGCGCCGGGGACGTGGCAAGCACGGACGAACAGGAGGCTGCTGGGGAGTTCAGGGTTGCAGGCTTGGGGGTTTGAGTTTTCGAATCTTGGCTGAACCTGAAACCCGAAACCCTAAAACCCGAACCCTAAACCCTCGAGATGACAGGTCAGTGAAGCTTTCGGGAACTCCACCACGAGCGCAAGCGGACAGCCTCCTGAGTCCAGGTTCGGGGGGGCTCGTGTGCCTGGCCGTTTCAAAGGGATTGGGGTTTAGGGTCTAGGGTTTAGAGTGTAGGGTTTACCGTAATCCTCTAAGGGATATCAGGTACCTATAAACGAACCCATCTTAGATGAACCTGTTAAGGCATCGTCATATACGGTACTTGTAAACCCTAAACCCTAATCTCTAAGACTTAAACCCCAAACAACCCCTAATCTGCATGATGCAGTAGAGCAAGTAGGAATCACACAGGGGTCCCTCCAGCTTCGCAAGTTCGATTTTGCTGGGCCACCGGCTCCCCTTGAACTGAAGCGGAGCCGCTGAGGTGTAGAGGGTTTAGGGTTCAGGGTTTAGGGTGAGGCTAGGAGAGTGTCGGGCCATGGGGGACCATATCCGATGGCGTGGGACTACATGGGGTTCCGAGCGGATAGTGTGTGTGTGTGTGTGTGTGTGTGCGTCTTTGTTTGCGGGATTTTGTGATCTTTGTGCTCGGCCTGTGCAGATTCTACGAGCTCCTGAACCATGAGATGCAAAAGGTGAACCGCCACTTCTCGCTCCAGCTCCGGTCCATCGTGGACCCTCGGGTGGTAGGGGCAGGTGGGTCCGAGATAGCAGCGTAGATTCCGGCAGGACTACTATAGAGGCCTTAAGAATTAGAATAGGGTTTTGGGAGTTATTATTATTATTATTATTATTATTATTATTATTATTAATATTATCATTATTATTATTATAGTATACTGTATACTTACAACAAAGCAACCAACCACAAGGGAATACTATGAGTAGTTATTCCGACCCGTATATGAGCCACCTTCTAGGCTTCGCTGAATGTCCACTCGCTGTCCGCACGTAGCCCTCACATCTGCCCCACCTTCCCAGTACCCTAAACCCTAAACCCTAAACCCTAAACCCTAAACCCTAAACCCTAAACCCTAAACCCTAAACCCTAAACCCTCAACCCTAAACCCTAAACCCTATGAGGACAATCTCAAGCAAGCGCAGACAGCTCTCTTCCAGCATGGGAAGGCTGGAGGCGCGAAGCTCGAGGTCAAAAACCCAGAGGGTGCAGATTTTTCTAGGATCATCTTACCTATGTAAAGAGCTTCCGGTTTAGGGTTTCGGTCTAGGTTTTTGGGTCGCCAACGGTTGCAGTTCGCGTTGCGTAGGGCGTGCGTTAGCCTTTTCTTGGTGTAAGTGCCGAAGCCCATGAAGCTAACAGTACTGCAGTGCAGCCTTACCAACCCCCCAGGCCCGAAGCCCAGAAGCCTATGGATCCTAAACCCCACCCTGAACCCTGAACCCTGAACCCTGAACCCTGAACCCTGAACCCTAAACCCTAAACCCTAAATCCTAAATCCTAAATCCCTGACTCTGAACGCTAAAGAACCCTGAAGCCCTCAACCCTTTATGGCAGGCAGCAAAGACAACCTGCCCGTGGCCGCCAAGTACCTTCAGACTGCGGTCTGCGCCCCAGAGCCTGCTTAGGGTTTCGGGTTTAGGGTTTCGGGTTTCGGGTTTAGGGTTTAGGGTTTAGGGTTTAGGGTTTCGGGTTTAGGGTTTAGGGTTTCGGGTTTAGGGTGTTCGGGTTGTCTTTTTTTGCAGGGGCGTTGTGGATTCGGGCCTGAGAGGTTGAGTGGTAGAAGGTAGTTTAGGAAGTCCAGAGCCAAGTCCTTAGCTGTGTGCACGGGTTGAGAGCGAACCTGCCACCCTTAACCCACCGGGTAAGTCCGCAACCCACCAAAGCCTCTTAATCCGGAGTCCTGGACTGCGAAGGCAGATGTTCTGGTGGAATTGGACAACTATCGGACCCTCAACAAAACCGCCTTTAGGCCGGAAGGGAGGTTGGCAGATCGTCTTCCCGTGGAGATGTCCTCTTCGCGTGTAGCTGTTGCAACAGGGCCTTTTCCTAAGGCCCTAATCTCCCCCTCATCCCTGAGCCCTAAATCCTAAACTCCTTTATACCCGCTCAAAAAGCCTTGAAATCTGGGAATTCAACTCTCTGGGTGGTCTGGGATCGGCATTTCCCTGAATATGGGCCTTGGGACTTGGGTTTCTCAGAGCTCACTTGAAGGTTCATGAGCTCATGGGTACGTAGAAGTAGGGTGTTGTTTTAGTTCCCCCAGCAGTCTTGCTCTTTGGGCTTCTTACGTTGTGGGTACAAGAGATGTCGAGAACTCGTCGCTGGCCCGGACCACCGCGCATGCAAACGGGGCCTCGCAGTCGACAACCTTCTCGGTTTTTCCCACGGGGTCGGGAGTCTCTCGCCTGCTAGGTCGTGCGCATCACCCTGTCGGTGTTTCCCTGTCCCCACGACGGTCCAATCGCTCTCTCGCCTAGGTCTCGTGCACATTCTGTGCTCGAAATCCCCTCTCGCCTAGTTCCTGTGCACTTTGTTGCACCGATCCGCGTCATAAACGTGCGATGTGGGCACTTTGATTTCATGCCTTCAGGATCTTGGATGGTTGGCGTCGTGCGTCCCTTCACAAAGGATTTGCGGTTGGCCTTGCGGTGGGTGCCAAATCGCACTCTCGCCTAGACCCCGTACACATTCTGCACTCGAAATCGTGCTCCTGCCTAGGGCCTAGGTCCCGTGTGCTTTCTGAAGCTTGCCCCGCGAAAGTTGACGAGGGCGAAGAGAATGCCCGTTAGAGGTTGGATTGAGGAGTGTCTCCGGTGCTTTTGGCTTAGGCTTGCACTGTTTCGGGTCTAGGCCGGCAAACGACAACCCTAAACTTGGTCATAGTTGGGTATCATTTCACATTTTAAAAGGGTACTTAAAACCCAATAAGGGGATATACATGTAGATTTTTCATACGATCCCAATCATGAACTAGTACATAAGGTTCATAAGACTCCGTCATCGCCCACAGCCGCCCATGTGAACGTAAAAACAACGTCGCGAGATGGGCGGCGACCTGAGGATGACAGACGGGTGGTGGACTGGCACTCTGCCAGCTCGCCTCCTAATTTAAGGGAGTCCCGTGCACCCGAAGTCCAAGCCGCGGTTTCGGGTTTGGGGTTTGGGGTTTGGGGTCTAGGGTGTAGGGTTTGGGTTTTGGGTTTAGGGTTTAGGGTTTACAGATGTAGCGTCCCCGCGGGCAGGAAGATCGCAAAGAAGTTTGACAAGGGCCTGACCACCAAGAAGCCGTTGTCGAAGTGGACGCTTCGCTGCATCTACTTCCCGGAATGGGTCGGACATCGCGGCAGGAACTTTCACCTGCGTCCTTTGTGACCACCAAGAGCTCCGACCCCAACCCTTAGAACTTAGAAGGTCGAAGGTCAAGCAAGGCAGGTCGCTGAAGTGCGGCATAGTAGGAGAAGCTTATTCCGGACGGCTCTGACAGAGATCGGTATCATCTAGTATAGGGGTCGGAATAGTTACGAATAGCATTCCCTTGTGGTCCTGGTACTATAATCACCCGCCCTAGGCAGCATGTCTGGCGCACGGGCAGGAGAGAGCAGCGACAAACGTTCGGGGCCAGCGTTTTCGATTCTAATTTCTCGTGTGGAAGATGAACCCCCAACGCCATGAATTCAGGTTTATGCCCCAGCTGGAGCGCGAGCAGTTCGTCGCGTACCCGCGGCTTGCTTGGCAACCCCAGAACCCCAGTACTTTCCATCATGCAACCTCACCAACCAAACAGTGAAACCAAAGCAAAACTCCAACAAGACACCTGAAACATCTTGAAACCCCGAATCTCCAAAGCCTAAGCCACATAACCCTCTTCCCCAAACCCTAGCTCCGCGCTGATGCGGGCAAGCCCTACTTAAAGAGCTTCATATGGTTTGTCATAAAGAGGGTTCAAGGTGGGGTAAGTAGAGACAGCCCTAAACCCTAAAGCCGAAACCCCAAACTCAAGCCCTAAGGTTAGATTCCTTTCTGCTGGCACTGGCCCTGGGCTTCGGGGCACTCAGACGCTTCCAACCCAGCTCCGTGGCTGCATGTTCACTGTTGGGTTTTTTCTTCAAGCTTCACGGGGGGATTGCCGGATTCTGGTGGCAGAAACCCTAAACTCTAACCCCTAAATCCTAAACCCTACCTTAAGGTTTTGCAGCCGGGCCTCCGAGTTTGGCGCGGCTTGGGGTTTAAGTTTTTTTTCTGAAGAACTCCCGGGCCTCCTGGCTCCTCAAAGCACGGGAGATTCGACTCGCTGGTCCGGGCCCTCTACATCCTCACCTTAAAGATCCCTAAGCCCCAATCTCCGCGAGCATCCTACAGCAACCCTAAGAACTCCTTGACCCTCCCTAAGAATCCACCACAAAAGTGCAGAAACCACCCTGAACGTCCAACAAAAAGCAGCCCTAACATCCCAAACCCTAAAAGCCCTTGAGCGCTGGGCTTCTTAGGAGTCAAGGGAGTCAAGGCACTCGCCTTGTCTCTGGGCGACTTCAGCAAGTGGGGGGGGGGTGGTGCGTGTACTAAATGAAGGCCTCCGAAAAGAAGTCCTAAAACCTTAAACCCTAAACCCCAAACCCTAAACCCTAAGCCCTAAACCCTAAACCCCAAACCCTAAACCCCAAACCCGAAGCCCAAGTGCTGAAAGGCCAGCCTTCGCAGCCGCCTCGGAAGGCTTCGGCGACTGGGGAGGAGCGAACCACCACGCTGGTGTGGCTTGGGGAGATTGTCTTTTGTTGTGCCGGGGGTGCGGGCCTGGGTGGGAGTCGGTTTAGGGTTTAGGGTTTAGGGCTTAGGGTTTAGGGTTTAGGGTTTAGGGTTTAGGGTCTTGGGGCATGTTGGGGTTTGGGCGTTAAGGGCGATCTGCCAGAGACGGAGAGCACGTGCAAGCAGGAGGGCGTGAGCGCACACCTGCAGGAACGTCCTGGTTACCTCATTTAGACAACGATCCACATGTAAGGTTTAGGGTTTAGGGTTTAGGGTTTAGGGTTTAGGGTTTAGGGTTTAGGGTTTAGGGTTTAGGGTTTAGGGTTTAGGGTTAGGGTTTAGGGTAAGGACCCGAAGCGGGATCATAAGTCAGTGAAAGCTTCGGGGTTTTGGGGATTTGGGCATTTGGGTTGTAGGGTGTTGTTAGGGTGGGTACTTCCTAAACCCTAAACCCTCATTGTGCATCTCAGGCTCAACGGTGCCGGGCACATTCGCGCCTTGTGCAACTTGGCCCCCAAAGCCATCCCCCAAACGTGCACCCTGAACCCTAAACCCTTAGCCCTAGACCGTAAACCTTAAACCTCAAACCTTAAACCCTAAACCCTAAACCCTCAACCCTAAACCCTAAACCCTACGAATCACCGAAAACCCGAAGTACCCACAAAGCCTCAGCCCCTTCGCAGCAAGCTGCAGGAGGCACTAACCTCCAAGCACCCGAAGCCCGAGAACTGAAGCCCAAAGAAGCCCCGGAAAAACCCGCAACCCATAACCCACAACCCTAAACCCTGAAAAGCCCTGGACAGTCGAAGCCCTCAGAAACCCCAACGACAGGCCCATTGGCGAAACCCTAAACCCTAAACCCTGAACCCTAAACCCTAAACCCTGAACCCTGAACCCCGAACCCTGAACCCTGAACCCTGAAGCTTGAAGCCTGAACCCTGAACCCTGAACCCTAAACCCTAAGCCCTAAACCCTAAACCCTAAACCCTAAACCCTAAACCCTAAACCCTAAACCCTTAACCCTGAACCCTAAACCCTAAACCCCAAGTCGAGGCACGTTGGTGAAGAACTTCGACCTGGTCTTCCCGCCCCAGCAGGGACACTTTGCCTCGAACCCCGAGTCGATGTCAGGTGCCGGGCTGAGGGGTTGTTTAGGGTTTAGGGCTAGGGTTTAGGGTTTAGGGTTTAGGGTTTAGGGTTTAGGGTTTAGGGTTTAGGGTTTAGGGTTTAGGTTTTAGGGTTCAGGGTTTAGGGTTTAGGGTTCAGGGTTTAGGGTTTAGGGTTTAGGGTCAACATTTCGTGTTTTCAGCGCTTGAGGCTTCGGGGGTTTAAGGGTTTTTGGGGTTTGAGGTTGTAGATTCTGCGGGTTCAAAGGAGTTTCAGGGTTTTTAGGGTTTGAGGTTGACGGGTTTAACCCTACACCCTACACCCTGAACCCTAAACCCTAAACAAACCCTAAACCCTAAACCCTAAACCCTAAACCCTAAACCCTAAACCCTAAACCCTAAACCCTAAACCCTAAACCCTAATGTGTTTTAGGAACCCTTGGACCCAAGAAGCGCCAAACGCCCGGTCCCGGAGGCGAAGGGCTCACCCTTGAGCTCCAGCACCTTGGACTTGCAGAGTTCTTGAGGGAGGGTTTAGGGGTTAGGGTCTAGGGTTTAGGGTTTAGGGTTTAGGGTTTAGGGCTTAGGCTTCATGGGGCTCAGGGTCCTTGGCATGTCGGGTCTTAGTCCGCAGGAGTTCGCAGGGTTTGAAAGCCAAACCCAGGGCATCCTTGCGGCATTGACGCGCGGAAGCTGCTTTGCTTTGGGCCAAGCCCCGACATCCCTGGGGTCAGTCCGAATATCCCTAAACCCCAAACCCCAAACCCCAAACCCCAAACCCTAAACCCTAAAGCCCTAAGCCCTACACCCTAAACCCTAAGCCCTAAACCCTAAACCCTAAACCTCCGAAGGAAGCTCATCCGGGCCACGGGCATGGGCATCATGCAGAGCCGCCTCTCCTCGAAGACGAGTACGGCCTTTTGGCTCAGAGTCGTAGGGTTTCAGGTTCAGAGTTCAGGGTCCAGGGTTTAGGGTTTAGGGTTTAGGGTTCAGGCTTTAGGGTTTAGGGGTCTGCGTTTTTTCACGTTTTTGCATTCAGAGCTTGCAAGAGGTGGGGGTGTTCAAGCTTCAGGGTCAACCCTAAACCCAAACCCAAAACCCTAAACCCTCAGGTCTACTTCGACTCTCCATCAGCGGGCTTCCCGCTGTACCAGAAGCTCCTTGCAAAGGCCCCCTAAAGGGAGCCGGGAGTCCCTAAAAAAGCCCCTCTAACTCTTAAGATTAGGCCCCCTCAGAGCCTGAAAATCACCCTCACAAATTCCTAAAACCCTAAAAAGCTCCTAAACTCCCCACAAAACTCCTCACTCCCCCAAAGAATCCCCGTAAACTCTTTCTGTCCCATGCCTCCCAGCCCGATCGACCCTTCATCCTTAGATGCGCCGGAGCCTGAAACCCGGAAAGACTGCTCCGGCCTTGAACCCTAGAAGCACGCGCCCTCAATTTACGGGTTTAGGGTTTAGGGTTTATTCCACAAGCATCCGTAAGTTAAAATAGGGAACGCCCTCCATTCCGGAATCTTCCTCTCTTCCCCTAAAAACGTGCTACCCAGAAAGTGCTAAACACCCCCCCCCCCCCCCCCTCCCCCACAAAGCCAAACCCTCTACCCTGAACCTTACATTCTCAATACTAACCCTAAACCCTAAACCCTAAACCCTGAACCCTGAACCCTGAACCCTGAACCCTGAACCCTGAACCCTGAACCCTGAACCCTAAACACTCGGCCTGAGCAGGACGGCCCAAAAGGTGCGGCACTCAGATTCCCTTCCAGAACACTGCACTGAGGAGAGGAACTTGGTTCAGGAACTTTTCGGGCTTAGGGAGTTTAAGGTTTTGCTAGGTTAAACGGGGGTTTCCAAAAGTTAGGTTCGTGTGTTGGGCTTGGGGAGTGGTCGGTACCGCAAATGCGGTTTTAACCGGTGAGCCCTAGGGTTCAGACAATGGTGGGCCTTCTTAAGGCTCAGGTTCATGAAGAGTCGGGATTTTCGGGCGCAGGCTTCTGCATTTTCTGGGCGCCTGTCATCATGTGGGCCTTTCCATGTAGGCTGCCCCGAAAAGAGCCATGATTCTCTTTCTTTCGGTGCGTTCAGTGTGCGATTTTGCAACATTCATGCGCATCTGGATTCTAGTTGTGTGTGGTCAGGCCAACAGTTTGCACTCCGGATGGTTGGTCCATCTGTTCTTTAAGGCGTTCAAGCACAAGGCACAACAGAAGAAAGGCAAGCATATAATCACAAGCACAAAACGAGACTGCGGTAACCACACTGCAAGTGGAACGAGCCTGTTTGTGGGGTTAAGGAGCCATCTCATGCCCACGACCCAAGAGCAGAGCCTTAAGATGATACAAAAGCCGGGCTACTTGCACCAACGACAAAATCTCACTCAGCCTGGCAATGAGTCATTCCATGCTAAGCTGGCGGAGCAAACGGCGAAAACGTGGCCAGCCTATAAGACCAACATCCGCTCACAGCTACATTGGAGTGGCCAGGCTCTCAAAGAAGACCGGCAGGTGCAACGCATTCGTTTTTGCGACGATGTGCATGCCACCATGTAGGCGCGGCACGAGCCCCCGGCCTGCGAAGATAAGGCGCTGTTGATCGGGCGCGATGTCCTCCCTTGTGCCGGATGTTTGCCTTCACGTTGTCAATCGCGTCGGAAGCCTCGTACTGCCGTCCGCCAACCGCTTGCTTGCGAGGGCGAGGCGCTGCTGAGCGGGTGGCTTCACGTTGTCTTGCAAGGTACGCATTGTTCGGTAGTGGACGCACTCGTTTGGCTGGATCATGACGACGCATGTCCCTCCGTGGCGAGGCCATTGATAAACAAAAGGGCGTTGGGGGAACAGCTAGCTCCTACTCAGCGTGTTCTGAGCCCTAGATTCTGATTTAGGGAATTGGTCGCATGCAACAGTAAAGCATGTAGACGCGCACGGACTGGCACTAAACCTCAGAGACCGGACCAAAAACCCGTGAGGTCTTGCTTCGACCAAGATCGCAGGTTGTTGTACACAGTGTTGTAGGTACCTTCAAACTAGACCGAGCTCAAGACTACGCCTGCCCGACTCACAGCCCAGTCCTTTCTTCTTCTCCGCAATCCCAAAGGGTTTAGGGTTTAGGGTTTAGGGTTTAGGGTTTAGGGTTACCCTATTTTCGCCCAACTTCTTCCGGTGGGCTGAGGTGACTCCTTTGCCTTCCGCTGCCGACAAACAGGCTTGGAGAGGGCTTTGAGGGTTGAGGCTCTATGGGGTTTAAGGTTTGGGGTTTAGTTTTTAGGGTTTAGGGGTCAGCTTTCGGGCAGGTGGTGCAAGGGGGCCCTACTGGGTTTCAATGCTGGAGTTCCGTGAGGGGGTTGGGGTTTCGTGGAAACACATAAGCCATAAGCCCTAATTTCAGCCAAGGACAACCAGCAGTAAGCAGAACGCTCCAACCAAACCAGGTGCCCTGAACCCTAAGTTCCTAAGCCCTGACCGGGGATAGCCTTATTTGGGATACCAAAAGCCCCTTCTTAAGACACCCCTGATCCTTTGAGCAGTCTGTTGAAGCATACTCCAAACTCTTCGACTCTAGCCATCAGCCCTACACCGAAGACCCTAAGCCCTAAACCCTAAACCCTAAACCCTAAACCCTAAACCGTAAACCCTAAACCCTAAACCCTAAACCCTCAACCCTAGACCCTAAGAACCAGATTGCCAAAAGGCATATCCCCCGCTCCCTCCAAAAAATCCTGGTTCTTAGTAGGGAATGAGGGAAGTAGGGCCTTTTATATATCTATATCTATATATATATACATACATATATATATATATGTATATATATCCATATACATATATCCATATATATAGATATATATATATATATAGAGAGAGAGAGAGAGAGAGAGAGAGAGAGAGAGAGAGAGAGAGAGAGAGAGAGAGAGAGAGAGAGAGAGAGAGAGAGAGAGGGAGAGAGAGAGAGAGAGAGAGGCCCTGTAAGGGATTATGTGGAGTACCTCATTCCCTCATTCCCTGCTAAGAGCCAGAAAAGGCAACGGCGAGGGTAGCGACCTGGTGGAGTTGGACCGAAGCAGCCGGGGCCCCCAACCGGGCGAGGAGGTTCGAGGGTCTTATTTAAAACCCTAAGCCCTAAACCCTAGGTGGATCATCCCATCACTCATTTTTTACAACACCTACTCCCTAACAGTCAAGATGCCCCATACACTTAATATTAGGGGCGGGGGTGGGGGGGAAGGGGTCTTAATATCAGGGGGAAGGGATTCCGGGGTAGTTTGGGGTCCCACGAACGATCCTCCGAGGTGCCGCACTGGACGTGCATGCCTTTACGCCGGTGCAGCAGCTAGGCCCGACGCAGAGGGCTCACCGACCCACAGGGTTCAAGCTGACCGACCCACGGGGCTTTGAAGCTGGGACCCTAAGCCCTGAACCCTAAACCTGAATCCCTAATCCCTAATCCCTAATTCCCTAAACCCTAAACCCTAAACCCTAGACCCTAAACCCTAAACCCTAAACCCTAAACCCTAATCCCTAAGCCCCAACCCAACACCCAAAACCTCTCAAGGTTTGGATCTTGGGGCACAGCCCGCAAGGTGCCCTCCCAAGGAAGCTACTTAGGGTGTAGGGTTTAGGGTTTAGGGTTTAGGGTTTAGGGTTTAGGGTTTAGGGTTTAGGGTTTAGGGTTTAGTGTATCTGCCAGATCCTGAACTCAAAACCACCGGGGTTTAGGGTTTAGGGATTTGCTGTTTCGGGTTCAGGGTTTAGGGCCTAGGGTTAGGGTTTAGGGCACCAATCAGGGTGTTGAGCCGACAGTAGGGTCCCATTTTGGGTGCTCTAGTTTCGGCAATAAAGATGATGATGGAGACCCTAAACAAACCCTCAACCCTAAACCCTAAACCCTAAACCCTAAACCCTAAACCCTAAACCCTAAACCCTAAACCCTAAACCCTAAACCCTAAACCCTAAACCCTAAACCCTAAACCCTAAACCCCAAACCCCAAACCCCAAACCCTAAACCCTAAACCCTAAACCCTAAAACCCTAAACCCTAAAACCCTAAACCCTAAAAGCAACTGCGCCAGGCAGCCCCCAAGCTTTCCTACTGCAGGGGAGGCCGGATGAATCCAGACCCTTGGGACTCCGATTATCTGGCTGGCTCTTAGTAGGGAATGAGAGAATGAGGGAATGAGGGAATGAGGGAATGAGGTACCCCCTTTTTGAATCCCTTAGAGGGTAGATATGGGGCCCTCGAATTTCCCTACTAAGAACCAGGGGGTTATGGCCTTCATGGGTCGAGGGTGGATCGGGTTTTGGGTTGCGGGGTTCTTTCGGGGATTTGGGGGTTCCGGCTTTTGAGAATGTGAGGTGTTTCAAGAGGGCGGCTTCTCGGGATCACGGCTTCTGATGCAAAGGAGATGCGCCAGGGCTTTAAACCCTAAGCCCTAACCCCTGAACCCTGAACCCTGAACCCTAAACCCCAAACCCTAAACCCTAAACCCTGAACCCTGAGCCCTGAACCCTGAACCCTACAGCCCTAAACCCTAAACCCTAAACCCTAAACCCTAAACCCCAAACCCTAAACTGGCGAAGTCCCCCCGCCTAAAAGCAGCCCAGGCATGGTCCCCAGTGTCCAGGCCGCTGCAGAGGGCCTCCGCGCCAAGCTCAGCGCCAAGGACAGTAGGGTTTAGGGTTTGGGGTTTATGGTTCAGGGTTTAGGGTTCAGGGCTTGGGCTGTGGGGGTGTAGGGCTCCGTTGACGAGATCTTAGGAGGAAGATGTTTCGGTGTTTTTAAAAGCCCACGCCACGCCCCTAGAGCAACAGAGTTTAGGCTCCAGGGGCTTCAGGGCTGGGTTTAGGTATGTTTAGGGCTTTGGCAGTAGGGGTCGGAGGAGTTTGGGGTTAACTCGGATGGGTAGTTGTAAGCGAGTTTATGTGTAGGGGAGGTATGGTTATGACGGGTGAAATTTTGGGGTTTGGGCCCACCGAAAGCCTTGCTAAGGGGTTGGGGGTCCATGAGAATCCCGACTCAAACCCTGAACCCTAAACCCTAAACCTCAACCTTAAGCCCTGGACCCTAGACCCTAAACCCTAAATCCTGAACCCTAAGCCCTACTAAACCCTAAACCCTAGAGCTCTGTGAGGACCCCGCCCTGATTTCTGCGCTGGGCGAGGGCGGCTGCGAGACCTTGGACAAGTTCGCAGAGCAGGCGCACTGAGGGCTTAAGAGGTGTTGGGTTTAGGGTTCAGGGTTCAGGGTTTAGGATTCAGGGTTTAGGGTTTAGGGTTCAGGGTTTAGGGTTTAAAGAGGGTATAGGGTTTAGGGTACAGGGTTTAGGGTTTAATGAGGGTTTAGGGTTTAGGGTCTGGGGTTTACGGTTTAGAGTTTAGGGTGTTGTTAGGGTTTCCAGTTTCCATATTCGCGGCCTTTTGTGGTTACTGCAGTATGGAGCTTTGTGAATTAGGCGGGTTTCCGACCCTAAACCTAAACCCTAAACCCGAAACCCTAAACCCAAAACCCTAAACCCCAAACCCCAAACCCCAAACCCTAAACCCTAAACCTTAAACCCTAGACCCCAAACCCTAAACCCGAAACCCGAAATGCCCACGAAAAGGGGGAGTTTAGATTCCCCGAAGCTCAGCTCTCGTGCTCTGGGAGGTGGCCGGTGTCTGCTCGACGCCGGGATTCCAGGCCTCGCCGTGCTTTGGGGGGGTTTAGGGTTTAGGGTTTAGGGTTTAGGGTTTAGGGGTTTAGGGCTTAGGGTTTAGGGTTTTGAGGTCTTGGGGGGGAATTATAGTGTAATAATATAGGGGTCAGAAAGGGAATATTATTCGTGGTTATTCCGACCCCTTTTTAAGGAGTTCCTTGGGGGCTGGGCGGCCTAGTAGTTGTGGCGTTGAGGGTTTAGGATATTGAGGGTTTGGGCTCTGCAGATCACGCATCTCTCTGGGACCGGGCAGAGGGTTTAAAGGGCTTAACAAGGGTTTCAAAGTGTTCAAAAGGGTTCAAAAGGGGTTAAAAGGGTTTAAAAGGGCTTTAACAGGGGTTAAAAAGGGTTTAAAAGGGTTCAAAAGGTTTTGAAAGGGCTAAACAGGGTCTGAAAGGGTTCAAGGGTCTTCAGACTCAGGATGGGCTCGTGGTTCAAGGGTTTTGTTTGGGTTAAGTTCAGGATCCCACTTAAAGGTCTGCCAGCTTCTGTTCTGAAACGGTTGGGCTGTGCAGCTTTGGGGGTCCTCAATATTTGTGCCTGAGTGACGCGCACTTATCCGACGACTTTCCTCAGAAGGTTTAGCGCCTTCTCTGACTTGCCCTTGCATGCGACCCTCGGCATCCTATGCCTCGAACCCTACACCCCTAAACCCTAAACCCTAAACCCCAAACCCTAAACCCTAAACCCTAAACCCTAAACCCTAAACCTTAAACCCTAAACCCTAAACCCTAAACCCCAAACCCCAAACCCCAAACCCTAAACCCTAAACCCCAAACCCCCCTAAACCCTAAACGCTCCGCAGCCCGTGGCCACCATCGGCGCCAGTCGCCACCTCCTGCGCAGCGCCCGGCCAGCAATTACCTTGAAAGCCGGCTCATGGATGGGTTGTGGGGGCCGGAGAGGCGAGAAAGCGAAGGTAACCCTAAACCCTAAACCCTAAACCCTAAACCCTAAACCCTAAACCCTAAACCCTAAACCCTAAACCCTAAACCCTAAACCCTAAACCCTAAACCCTAAACCCTAAACCCTAAACCCCAAAACCCGAAACCCTAAACCCTAAACCCTAAGCCCGGAGACCTGAGCCTTGTCATCGAACCAAGAAGCATCCGCGGCAGTTTGTGAAACCCATATATGAACGCCTCCCTCGCTGAGCCTTTGCAGATTTTGGGGCGCACAAAAGGCTGCTATCAACCTTTCGCCAACAAGACCTAAGGGCGCGAAAACACCCCCAGCATAGCAACCCCAAGCCCTGAACCCTAACCCTCCTGCGCCGCTGTGGAAGCCTCAAGGGACGAAGCCTCATTGGTTGCTTCATAGTGCCAGGGGGAAGAAAGGGCCAGCCGGCAAGACCGACACAATCGACCCCGACAGTCGCAAGCCCCTGAAGCATTCCTGTCACCACCCGGGAACAGGCTTCCCACACGCAAAACTTGTGATGCCCCCTTGTGGGCTTCGAGTTTCTGAAGCTGGCTTGGGGTCATGGATTTTGCCGGTTCCTTCGGGACAAAGGGGAAGAGAACAAAAGCTCATGGACCCTCACCCTCAGCCTCAAGCGGTCTGAACCCCAAACCCTAAAGGCTCTAAAACCTCAATCTTCAAAACCAAAGCCGAGCCTTTCCCGTGCTACCCTAAACCCGAAACCCTCAACCCTAAACCCTAAACCCCAAACCCTAAACCCTAAACCCTATACCCTAAACCCTACGAACCTGGCAGTTGACGCTCCCCCCCCAAGGCGGCAATGTCCGGATTGCCTTCGACCAGGCGCCACTGCTGCAACCCAGAAGCCCCCTCCCCCGAATGAAGAGCCAATCTTCAGCCTTATGAGGCTGGGCTACAGACGTGAGGTTTCTGGTTTGGGGCTTCAGGGTTCAGGGTCGAGGTGCGCGCGCGCGCGGCCGCGAGTTTGAAGCCACTCTTGTCTCATCTGCGCTGAAGCTCCTTCCCCTCAACTGCCTGAAGCCCTGGTAGCGCTAAACTGCCCAAAGCTTCTCCTTCGCGAGAGGACATCCAGTACACCGGTAGCTTGGGCACCGGCGTCCAGGAGGCCGGGTCTGTTTTGGGTTTTGGGTTTAGGGTTTAAGGTTTAGGGGTTGCTTATTTCGTGTTGTGGGGTTGTGCCTTAGGGCCTCGCACCTCATGACTTCCGGCTGAGGGGCATGGCATGTTTGCATACTCTTGAGTCTGAGTGATAATGTAATCTAGTATTGATGATCTTTCTTAAGTATGGGTCCCTCTTGGGGCCCCCATGAATTATTTAGGGTACTTACCCCAAAAGGGACCAACATTTTAGAGTACTGACCGTATAAATATTTATAAAGACGTGTATATATATATATATATATATAGGTGTGTGTGTGTAATATACGCTATACATGTATGTAAGTATGTATGTATGTATGTATGTATGTATGTATGTATGTATTTATGTATGTTTATGCATACATACAACACACACACACATATATATATATATAGGTACATGCTATCCTATGTTATGATATGATATGACATGATCTGATCTGATATGATCTTGTATTATGCTTCGGGCACTGCCGCCTCTTCTGCTAGGGTCGGACAGGTTCCCGTAGAAACCTAAGTAGTTGTCCAAGCCCTCACCTACCTGTCGGCCGTCTGAACTCGAGGCGAAGAGTCTTGCAACCATGATCAGGAACGAAGCGCAGCAACAAGCCACACGGATTCTCCGGTCTACTGGCGTCTTTCTCTCAGGCACCGACCCTGAACAGTTCCTTTAACCTAAGGAGAGTCAGCTTTTTGAGCCTTAAAACCCCCTAATATTACATGCCCCCCCCATAGCTATGTTATAGTAACATGTACATAGATTTGTACTGTAGGTTCTGGCCACGCAGTCAATTGATGTGTTCTCGCTTCGCAGGACCAGGCCATGACGTTCCCCTTCTGCTTGATCGAGGTGCCCTGCCGAAAGCACGGTCTGGTGGTGTCACAAGCCCGTGCACGGTTTAGGGTTTAGGGTTTAGGGTTTAGGGTTTAGGGTTAGGGTTTAGGGTTTAGGGTTTAGGGTTTAGGGTTTAGGGTCCAGGACCATCTAGATGGCATCTGCACCTCTACCCATCACCTCGGTGCAGGCGGCGGCTTGCCCTGATCAACTCTAGGGTTCTCGCCGCGCCTGCTGCTCCCGCGTCGCGCGTGCTCTTGATCAGCCTGTCCTGATTTTTCGAGTGCTGCCAGAGTTCCGACGACCTCTGCCATATGCTACCCTAAACCCTAAACCCTAAGCCCTAAGCCCTAAACCCTAAACCTTAAACCCTAAACCCTAAACCCTAAACCCTAAACCCGAAACCCTAAACCCGAAACCCGAAACCCGAAACCCGAAACCCTAAACCCTAAACCCTAAACCCTAGGTGGCTGGAGAAGACCTCGCAAGCACGCCAGCGCCTCTTGGCGGCATGCGAGCTAGCCTTGGGGAGCCCTCTAGTATAAGGCGGGGTATAGGGGGGGGGTTTAAGGGGTTTAGGGTTTAGGGTTTAGGGTTGAGGGTTTCGGGTTGAGGGTATAAGGCGGGGTAATAAGGGGGTATAGGGGTCTTGCAGGTTCCCTGAGGTCGCCCGCCCGGCGCTCTGAGCCCCATAACTTCCGCGCACTCCAAACTCGACCTGTAATTGGGTTTAGGGTTTAGGGTTTAGGGTTTAGGGTTGATACTGCGAATGTTGATGTCGCCACGGTTCTTCTATGCTGTATTTGTTGGTTTTTTCAATGGGTCACAAGATGTGTCTTAAGAATGCCCTGCGAGGTGGCTGGAGGAGCTTCGGCAGGATGCAAGCCTGCGGCAGATCCCGAACTTCAATGTTGGCGGCCTCAGGGGGCATGTCAGGGTGTAGGGTTTAGGGTTTTGGGTTTAGGGTGTAGGGTTTAGGGTTTAGGGTCAGGGTGTAGGGTTTTTAGGGTTTCAGGGTTTCGGGGCTTTAGGGTTTTGGGGTTTAAGGGCTTCAGGGTTTTTGAGTTTCAGGGTTTTGGGGCTTTAGGGTTTTGGGGTTTGAGGGCTTCAGGCTTTTTGGGTTTCAGGGTTTTGGGGTTCCGGGCGAAAGAGCCCTGAAGCATCAACATCTCTTCAGACCCAAGCCCTGAACGGGCTTAGGGCCGTGTTAAAAGGCTCCAGGGTTGGGATGTTCCCCGTTATACGAACAGTCCTTAATAGGGATTATGGTACCCCTTGTTAGAATCCCTGTTACGGACTGTTAGGAAAAGGGGGTGCATCCAATCTAGTGGAGCCCCCTGAACAGATAACTGTCGCCCCAAAACCCAAGGCCCTAACTCCCGACTGAGGTGGCCACCTACGTCCTGGCAAACTTGTACCATGACACCATCTCCCCCGTGCCCACCTGGTGCGCCCGGGCGATGGTACTCCCCCCCCCCCCCCCCCCCCCCCACCCACCACCACCCCGCACCCACAGACACAACGTCTAACCACAGGGTAACTAACCCATGAACCTCCAAGCAGGGGTTAGGAGGTTTAAGCCCCAAGCTCAAAAACCTGAACCAGTGTCAGGAAAGACCCACACCCGAAACCCGAGACCCGAAGCCTGCGGCATGCGGTTTCTTGACTGCCCTGAGCTCTATGCCCTAAACCAGGGGTTTCAGGGTTTCAGGGTTTCAGGGCTCTCGAAATCTCACAGTCGAAGGTACGAATTCTTCTCAGAGAGCGAGAGCGCGGAGAAGCAGGATCCGAGCTTCTCGCGCTGGGGGGCTGTGCGACGACCCTATAGCCCTGAACCCTAAACCCTAAACCCTAAACCCTAAACCCTAAACCCTAAACCCTAAAACCTAAACCCTAAACTCTAAACCCTAAACCCTAAACCCTAAACCCTAAACCCTAAACCCTAAACCCTAAACACTAAACCCGAACCCTAAGCTTTGAACCCTAAACCCTCCCTAAAGCCTAAATCCGGGGCCAGGGTTTGGGTAGGTCCATCTTGTACGGCACCTCATAAACCCCTCAAAGGGGACCAGGCATATCGGGACCATTTTCTTTTAAAATTTTTTGGGGTTCTGAAGTAAATAGTAGTCTTGGGGCACTTCCAACCCCCCACTTATGACGGCCCAGGAAGTCCCCACAATTTCCCAAAATCCTGAGAGCCAATAGGCCCCCGAAGTCAACAGCCCTAAACCCTGAAGGCTTCGCAGGGCCCCAAGGCGCTCAAATTTGGAAAGCATTGGGTTTAGGGTTTCGGGTTTGGGGTTTAGGGTTTAGGGTTTAGGGTTTAGGGTTTAGGGTTGCCCCAAAAAAACCCTTAGAGTCCACGAAAGCCCCTGTGCCTACGAGTTCTTAGCAGGATTTTTCTCAAACCCGGTTATTTTTTGAGAAGCCCCCTAACGAAGTTCAAAAGCACCCCAAACCCAACAACCCTAAACCCTGGGATGTTCCCCCTTGTCCTAACAGTCGTTAATCGGGATTATAATAGGATTGCTATTGAACCCAAACCCTAAACCCGAAACCCGAAACCCTAAACCCTAAACCCGAAACCCTAAACCCTAAACCCTTAATCCGCTGAAAGGACCTGAACTTCGCACTGCAGAGTCGAGCCGATGCGCGCGAGGCGCAGGAGGCACTCAGGGAAGGTAAGGTGTGGGGTTTAGGGTTTAGGGTTTAGGGTTTAGGGTTTAGGGTTTAGGGTTTAGGGTTTAGGGGTTGGGTTTTGGGTTTGGCGGGGTCGTTGAGAGTTTGGGGGTTTGTTAGGGAGGGTTTGGGGGTTTTGGGTTTGGGGAGGGTTTGGGGGTTGAGAGCTTGGGGGTTTGGCGTTGAGGGTTTGGGTTTGGGGGTTGAGGGTTTGGGGTTGTGGGTTTGGGGTTTGTGGTTGAGAGTTTGGGGGTTTCGGGTTGAGGGTTTAGGGTTTAGGGTTTGTTGTAGCAGCGATGGTTTTCGGGTCATGTTCGCGATATGACGGTTTGGGTGTGGGTATGCGCATGGCAGGTAGCTTTCTTCCATGTATAATACCTTGTAAAGCTTATTCGCATATACTATTATCATGTACATCGGTTTTTAGCTAACTGTCCCCTCTTCTTGGCTTGACCGTATTTGCAGTCTCATCAGCCCACACATTTCAATCGTAAACCTTAAACATGTCATTGATGTAGGGATAGGGTGTCGGAGCGGGCTGACACGGCCAAGAACCGAATGCCGCCGCAACAAAGCACGAAAACCCCAAACACGCACACGACACCACAAGAAGTTTTTAGGGAGTATTGCTTTGCGGCACCAAGAATGAGAAGTTGTGTTTACCTTTGATTTTTCTGCTTCGCGATGTCTTGGGGCATTTGCTTTCTTTGGCCTTGTATTCGGTTGGAACCGGGGCACATGGGGGCCGCTCTACACCAGGCTCCCCTTAGATAGACAGCTTTTGTAGCAGGGTTCCCTACAAAAAGTGTCTCCAAAAAAAGGGCCCCCAAAGTCTGCCTTTGCGAGGCTGCAGCGAACACGCAGGCGCGGTCCGTTTGCCCTTTCTTGCGCTTTGTTATTTAAGGGTTCAGGATTGAGCTCTAAACCCGGAAAGGGTTTAGGGTTTCGGGTTTAGGGTTTAGGGTTTGGGGTTTAGGGTTTCGGGTTTGGGGTGTAGGGTTTAGGGTTTAGGGTTTAGGCTTAGGCGCTTTCACACAACCTTTCATCTGGCTTCCGTAGTTGGAAGGCTTAAGCAGGGCTACAGGTGCCCCCAACCAAAAGAAGTTGGTCGCTCCGAAATACAGCTCCCCTATGTATTGTGCCAGTTAAAGCTTCAGGTTTGGGTTTAGGGTTTAGGGTTTGTGGGTTTAGTTTAGGGTTTAGGGTTTGTGGTTTAGGGTTTAGGGTTGAGGTAGGGTTGTCATACAGCGGGGTCATGTGGCTCATGAATGCATTCAGCAAGACAAATGGTTAGACCCGAAAGCCGCACCAAACCCTGTTTTCAGCTCTAAACCTTGAACCCTAGACCCCAAGCCCGAAACCCTAAACTGACCCTAAACCCTAAACCCTAAACCCTAAACCCTAAACCCTAAACCCTAAACCCTAAACCCTAAACCCTAAACCCTAAACCCTAAACCCTAAACCCTAAACCCTAAACCCTAAACCCTAAACCCTTTCTTTGGGGGAACCGAGGCGTGGAGGAAGAGCATTCGGCTGGCGCCGCCCTCAGCCGGGTGTGTGTGGCTTCACGGATGGCCCTGCTTCCTACCAGCAAGGGTTTTTAGGGTCTAGGGTTTAGGGTTTAGGGTTTAGGGTTTAGGATTTAGGGTTTAGGGAGTTGAGGGTTTAGGGTTGTAGGGGTTGAGGGCTCAGTGTTTCTATGGGTTTTAGGGTTGGCTTAGTGGTTCTGAGGCCAGTGTGGAGGCTTTGGGACTCTGAACCGAGATGTACCTCCATCAAGAATCCGCAAGTTTCCCCCGCCGGAACCGCTACACCCTACCCTAAACTCCAAACCCTAAGCCCTAAACCCTAAACCCTAAACTCCAAACCCTAAACCCTAAACCCTAAACCCTAAACCCTAAACCCTAAACCCTAAACCCTAAACCCTAAACCCTAAACCCTGAACCCTGAACCCTAAACCCTAAACCCTAAACCCCAAACCCTAAACCCTAAACCCTAAACCCTAAACTGAAGAAGAGCCCTGAGCACCCAAACTGGAGACACTGTGACACGGCCGACCCAAACACTGACACTTCCAGTCCCCGACCGCCCCGAGCTCTTTCCAAGGGCGGACTTGGGGTTTAGGGTTTAGGGTTTAGGGTTTAGGGTTTAGGGTTTAGGGTTTAGGGTTTCTCCCTGAACCCTCAGCCCTCTATGCCCTTGAGCTGAACGACCAAAGGCGGGTCCGGAGGGCTTGGAGGTGGATGGAACAAGCCAGGCGGGTGTGGTTGAAGGCTTCGGGGCTTCGGGCTGAGGGTTTGTCGGGTTTAGGGTTGGGCCAATGTCTGGGGTTTCGGGTTTCGGATTCCTCACAAGCCCGGACACCGAGCCCAAACTCTCCAATCTTACTTTGGCGTGCACATGCCACCAGAAGGTTCGTTGGTTCGGACTGGGTGCTTGTGACTCAGGTCAGAACCAGTTTCCCCTAACCCCTAAAACCTAAACCCCAAACCCTAACCCTTAAACCCTAAACCCTAAACCCTAAACCCTAAACCCTAAACCCTAAACCCTAAACCCTAAACCCTAAACCCTAAACCCTAAACCCTAAACCCTAAACCCTAAACCCTAAACCCTTAACCCTTAAACCCTAAACCCAAACCCAGCAACCTGAACACCACCCAAGCCCCGAATCTGGAACCTTGGAGCGAGGAGGATGCCCGCATCATTGAGCCAAAGAACTTGCTTGCCTCAGAGAGGAGGGTTTAGGGTTTAGGGTTTAGGGTTTAGGGTTTGGGCGGTTTAGGGTTTAGGGTTTAGGGTTTAGTGTTTAGGGTTTAGGGTTTGGGCGGTTTAGGGTTTAGGGTTTAGGGTTCAGGGTTTAGGGTGTAGGGTTTGTTGCAGAGTTTGGGTTGAGGGTTGAGGTTTTTGTGTGGTCATTTCGGGTCGAGGGTTTCGGTGGCAGATGGACACGGGTTTTCAAACCTTGGCTGCGCAGCTCGAGTTTGGATCTTGGGGCTCCTGACCCCAAAATCTTTACATCCGAACTCCTAAACTCCGAATCCCCTAAACCTTAAACTCTCGAGACAAAACCAATAAGGGGAAGTTGTGTGTGGTTCACGGGCTATTCCTTTCCAATCCACAGCCACTGAAGCGTACAGTTTTTCTTAAAGCCGCTCTCTCTTTCTCTCTGTTTGCTGACATATCATTCGGAGTTTGCAATGTTATTTGTCTAAACAGACTCCAAAAGGCTCCATCAACTTGGTCCAAAATGAGGAAAACTCCGGAAAGATACCAGGTTCCCAAGAGTGCCTTCTGCCTCCGAAGCTTCCCAAAACACCCAAAAGTCCCCTTGGGGGTAATCTGGCGAATGTAGGGTTGGGGATCATCTGGGCTCTTGTGCCGGAGGGACGGGTTGCGTCGGCCGTTGCAGGCTTGATGTGTACTCCTTTCGATACCGGATGAGTTGGTGAGGGATATGAGTTGGGAGTCAAGAAGGGCCACAGAAACTGCAAGGGCGTGGGGGGCGTCGCAGAAGAGCACCCTGAACCCCCCCCCACCCCCACCCCCCCACCACCCCCACCCCCCCCACCCCAACCCCACCCCCCAAAAAAGGAAAAGAGATAAAGCAACTTAAACCTCTTCAAAGCTCCCCACACAAAATGCAAAAATGCAATACGCTTTCTGGAAGCCCTCAGCTGCGATAGAGCCCCGAAGACTGACACCAAATGTCCACTCTTCGTTTCGCTGCTACGGCAGACGGATTGAGTTGTCGGATGCTACTGTGGGTTGTAGAGTTTTGGCGGTTCAATACTTTTTGGAGCAGATTTCCGTTCCTAGCAAGGGCCCCCAGGTCTTTCATAGCGGTCAGACTTGTCTCCAGGACCATGCTAGAATGGATGCACACCGTCTTTGCGCTGGCTATGATTGCTATAGGCCAGGCTGGTCTTGAACCTCCTTGGCCTCATAAAAGCATCGGTCCAGGGGCACATACACTCGTACTTGAAGGTTCACGGGTACTTCTACGCAGCCTTGTGTTTTTCGTAGCTGGTTTTGCAACACTGAGTACGTAGCCTTACTTATAGGGTTCTCAAGGGAGGGGGTTCAAGGAGTTATATACTCATAACTTACTCATGACTACCTATGAACACCTTCAGGTTGGCGCCCTCCAGGATCCAAGACTTGTTGTGCGGCAGTCGCATCTGCAGGGGCTAAGCTAGGATCCCAGCACACTAGCGCCTTTAAAGCCCTAAAGCCTAAACCCTAACAACCCTAACAAGCCCAAAACCCAAAACCCATAGCGCAAAGCCCTAAACCCGAAACCCTAACCCCCCCCCCCCCCCCCCCAAAAAAAAAAAAAAAAGGCCTGTGGCGCTATAGCCTCACCGGGCACATGAAACACACGGGGGGCGTCGACGATCGGGAGCCGGGGCCCTGGCTGGGTGGGCTTTCGCAGTCTTCGGGCTTTCGAGGTGCACAGGTTGAAGGGTTTAGGGTTTAGGGTTTTGGGTTTAGGGTTAGGGTTTCGGGTTTCGTGTTTAAGGCTGGGGTTGACGGACCTTCGGACCCTTTGACCTTGCTGCCTGAGTTGCTGGGATCAGATCGAAATGAGATTTTAGGTTTCGCCCCCGCCCCCCCCGCCCGCCAAAAAAAAAGAAAATATAATTAAATATATATAAGTAAACAAATGAATATATATATATATATATATATATATACATACATAAAATAAATAAAAGGCCTGGCACCATGCTTGGGAGCTGTCGGAGTAGTGTGTTGCTCATGAGCTGAATCCCATGTGCTCGCTACTTTGCCAAAGCTCTGCCCAGAGACTCCAAAACCGCTTCATTAAGGAATATACCTTAAATCATATTAGGGTTACTACTATAATTTAAGGTATATTGCTTAATTAATGGGTTTTGGAGTCTCTGGGTGTGCTCCAGGGAAGCTCGCGGGCTCTGGCTGAATCCCGCGAGCAAGTCGCGAGTTGCGCCACAGGGCGGCAAGGAGTTTAGGGTTGAGGGTTTGGGGTCGAGGCGTCAGGGTTTAGGGTTTAGGGTTTAGGGTTGAAGGAGAGTGTTGAAAGGTCCACTCCCCGAACCCTCACCTCTGCCGGAGGATTTGGTGTTGCTTCGTGTGTTGCGGGTTCTTCTTGAAATCTGTGACTTCTTGCCAGAAATCAAATTATCGCGATTGACACCAGTACACGAGGCAATGCGGATCATGGAAAGCAATGCAGATCATGGCAGATCAGGCGACAGGAGAAGAGTGTGCTCAGTACCTGCAATAAGCCCCAAACCCGAAGCTTTGGGCTCAGCAGGCCCCAGAACCCCAAACCCCAAACCCCAAACCTTAAACCCTAAACCCTGAACCCAACACCCTGAACTCTGAAGCCATATTGAACTGCAAAACTTCATGCCGAGAGCCCCCATCGTAGTGTGTAACCGGTATCTTGGCTCCGGACGCCACAGATTCAAAAAGAAGCCGCTGCCCCCCCCCCCCGGCCACCGCACCAGGCTTTACTGCCATTCCTACTTCTACAACCTACGCACATGTGGGTCATGGAGCAAGTAAGATGAATCACCTTCAAAGCTATAATCGCTTGTGGCCTTGCTTTTACGCAATGTGTGTGTGTGTGTGTGTGTGTGTGTGTGTCTGTGTCTGTGTCTGTGTCTGTGTCTGTGTCTGTGTCTGTGTCTGTGTCTGTGTCTGTGTCTGTGTCTGTGTCTGTGTCTGTGTCTGTGTCTGTGTCTGTGTCTGTGTCTGTGTCTGTGTCCCTGTCCGTGTCCGTGTCTGTGTCTGTGTGGGTAGAACACTACTACTAACTACCAACTACCCTGCCCATCTTCTACCGCCCCCAAAAGGAACCCCCGCCCCCCCTTCCCCCCCAAAAGGGTCCAGAAGAGCCCGTTCGAGGTGCAAAAAAAGCCTAGCCCAACCCTAAGCCCTAAACCCAAGTAACCCCTAAACCGTCCCCAACCTGAAGCCCAGGCTTGGAGGCTATGCCCTTTTCCTGGTCCTGCTTTCAGTTTGCTTCGCTTGGTATGCGGCGGCTCGACGGGGGTGTGGGGTGCCGGGGCGTGATGGCCACCACATTGCAGTCTTGGGATGTTGCCCCATATTCTAACAGTACTTAGTAGGATTAATCCCTATTATTATTGTTATTATTATTATTATGATTATTATTGTTATTATGATATTATGATATTATTATTATTATGATTATTATTATTATTAAGGATTGTTAGTGTCAGGGGGAACATCCCAATTGAAGTCCTTACCCCTTTTTTTGGGGGGGGGGGGGGGAAGCTCACGTCGTGGAGCTTGCCGTGGAACTTACCGGTTGGGCTTACACAAGCTCTTAGGGCGCGAGCGGCACCTCCTGGCCTAGCACTCCCGGGCTTTGTTTAGGGTTCAGGGTTTAGGGTTTAGGGTTTAGGGTTTAGGGTTTAGGGTTTAGGGTTTAGGGTTTAGGGTTTAGGGAGGGTTTAGGGAAGGACCCGCGGGTTACGTGCCGCCTGGGTCCGGGGGGACTGCTGGGCTTCTGAGGGCACGAAACGCAGGTAGCTTCCACTCTCTGCCCGGAGGCTCATGCGCGTGCGTGTGTTGCGCTGTGGGAGTTAACAACCTGAAAATAGTACATGTGTGATATTATATATATATATATATATGTATATTCATGTATCTATATATACATATAGAACATGTACAAACAAAACCCAAAGCCCAAACACCCGAAAACCCCGAGGTAAAGACCCCAGAACCCCAAACCTCAAACCTCACCATCTCTTTGCCCAAAGCTCAGGTATGGTCCCACCTCCAGCGTATCAAGGCTTTGGTTAAGCTGCCCGGCCCAGTGTTGGATGCGAGGGTTTCGGGTTGGGGATTTGATAGGCATTTAGGGGGCTTTTAGGGGTCTATGGCTTTACAGGCTTAGAGGAATTTCGGGGTTTAGGGGTCGGGGGCTTTACAGGTTCAAGGTTTATATGGGCGTTTAGAGAGCCTAGGGACTTTAAATCCCTGATACCCCCCCCCCCCCCCCCACTCCTAAGCGCGCCCCGCGAAGCCCCAAGCCCCAGGCCTTCTTGAACCCCCAAACTTGAATATCCAGCCTCCACCCACCGGGCTTCTCGAGGAATGATCAGAGTGAGCGCATCTTCAATCGCCGAACGGGGCCCGTGGCCTTCGCCGTCTGCGCGGGGCTGGGTTTGCTCGTCCACCTTGCCTTGCAGATGGCCTCTTGAGAAGCATTTTTGGGCTTGGGTTTAGGGTTTAGGGTTTAGGGTTTAGGGTTTAGGGTTTAGGGTTTAGGGTTTAGGGTTTAGGGTTTAGGGTTTAGGGTTTAGGGTTTAGGGTTTAGGGTTTAGGGTTTAGGGTTTAGGGTTTAGGGTTTAGGGTTTAGGGTTTAGGGTTTGGGGTCATGAAGGGGAGCTGAATTTCTTGGCTGTTCCGCCTCCCCTGCCCTTATAGGGCACCCTGTCCCAGAGCACCGTGTCAGTCCGTACCCTGTCAGAGCTTGCACATGGCTTGACTGTGGCTCAAGGGTGGCAAGTTCATGTGCAGTGTTTGCCGTTCCCGGCTCTGATCCAAGGATTCTCCTCACTAAGCCCATCTTGCTGGTTGGTGGGAGCTGCGAGATGCGTGGGCACAGTCCGAAAACGCGCGGTTTAGGGTTTGGGGTTTAGGGTTTAGGGTTTAGGGTTTAGGGTTTAGGGTTCAAGGGCTTGCGGATCGCGCCCCTTGGCGGCCAAGCCCGAAACGGCCCGACGCCTGGATAAACCCACAAGGCCCCTAAGATCCTTAACCCCGGAAGATCCCTAAGCTCAGGGTTCAGGGTTGAGGGTTGAGGGTTTAGGGTCCCGGGTTTAGGGTGTAGGGCTTAGGGAGGCTTAGGGAGGCTTAGAGTTTCCGGTTTAGGGTTTAGGGCGGTGAACATCCAAGACGCAGGGGACAGCATCAATGATAGATGGGGTTGAGAAATGATGCTCCTCTTTGTGTCTCTGCTGTAGATTGTCCTTGTTGTGTCGTGTACCAAACAACCCTAAGGGTCCATGTACCCAGGTGGTAGATACGTTTGGGCTTGAAGGGGTTCCCATTAGTAGCTGTAGGAAGTATAGTATACATGGACCCTGAAGGAAATAGGCCAAAAGGTAGATCCAGATCCACGCCCAACAGTTGAGATTCAAGGGTGCTGGGGAGCCGGAACCCTATCCCCTAAACCCCTAAACCCCTAAACCCCTAAACCCCTAAACCCCTAAACCCCTAAACCCCTAAACCCCTAAACCCCTAAACCCCTAGACCCCTAGACCCCTAAACCCCTAAACCCCTAAACCCCTAAACCCCTAAACCCCTAAACCCCTAAACCCCTAAACCCTAAACCCCCTAAACCCCTAAACCCCTAAACCCACCCTAAACCTATGTCCTGAACCTCAAACCGATCTCAACCGTCAGAGCCTGCGATGGCCAGGAGCTGACGAAAGCCAAAGAAGCCTACAGCGCCCAGCAGGCAGCTGAAGGGTAGGGCCTAGGGGGGTTGCGAGGTTTGGGGGTTTAGGAGTTTAGGGGCTTAGGGGTTTAGGGGGGTTAGAGGTATAGGGGGACTAGGGGGTTTGGGGGTTTAGTGATTTAGGGGTCAAGTGGTTTAAGAGTTTAGGGGTGTACGGGGTAGGATGTAGACATGTGGAGTTGAGGATGTTAAGGGGCTGTTGACCTTGACGTCTCATCTCCTTCCCGGAGTGGGTCTAGAGCCCTCCGCCCTCAGTTCTCGCCTTAAAACCCCACGAAGTCCCAGAAGCCCCCGAAATCCCTCCTCGAGCTCAGGCGGCACGGAATGAAGCGCATGGCCCGGGCCCTTAGTTTCACAGGCTTCCCAAGTGTTTCTTCTCCCCCCCCGCCGGCATACAGAAGGGGATTTTCAGTTCTTGAAGAGTCTCTATGCCAGCATGCTTTGGCCCCCGCCCGTCGTGGGTTCCCCAGAGCCGCTGGGCCCCAAATGCACTTCGAAGCTCGTGGCCCAACGCAATCTCTCCTCAAAAGCTCGGTTTTTGCTTGGCAGGCGAGGAGAAAGAGCTGGGTCACGACACGATGGCATAGTACCAGACTGAAGCCTAGAGCGTTTGGGATCCTGCTTGGAGCTCACGTCGGAGGCAGGCTGCTTGCAGGTCAACAAACTTCGCGACGCACCAGCCGGTCCATGGCAAGACGTGATGAAAGCACTGCAGCAGCCCAGGACATCTGAATCCTGCTTGAGGAGACATGGTGCTGCAACTGAGCTTGCTTGGGGTTGATAGCACAGGCCGAGCCGGAGCTCTGCGGGCGCTCGAGTTCTTGTTTCGTTTTCTGCATCCGAACTCGCATCGTGTCAGGTTTTGAAGCTGAAGGCAAGTCGTGATGAGGCTCCGGCAGCAGCCCAGGACATCTGAGATCTGTCCTGAGGAACCCGATGCTGCAGCTGAGCTTGCCATGAAGGGAGGTCGACTTGCCGGAATTGCGAATGCGCAAGGCACGGCGATTGCAACCTCACCTGCGGATGTGCTGCGTGTGCTCGTTAACAGTTAAAAAGGCGTTCAACCTGTTGATGCGGCGCGGGCAGCAAATGGCCGAAGGGTAAGGCATGATGAGTCTTCTGCAGCAGCCCAGGACATCTGAATCCTCACTTGAGGAGCACTTCGTGCTGCTTCTGAGTCTCCTTGGGCATGCTCTGCGAACAGACAAGAGAGACCTAACATCGACGTAACAGACACCACTGAAAACTCCCCGTTCTCGAGTTGCTGCCGTTGGCTGGATTTGGGCCGAGCTGGGTGTTAGGGGCCTGATGCAACAGAAATAATCATAACAATAACAATACTAGTACTCATAATCATAATAGTAATACTCATAAAGCTCAAGCAAGTTTCCAGCTGTGATGAGGTTCCAGCAGCAGCCCAGGACAGCTGAAGCCTGCCTTGAGGACCATGCTGCTCGCCTGAGCTTTCCAGCCCGAGCAACAACTGCGGTGGTCCTCCTCGGTGCCGCACACGCCTTCACGGATCTCGAAGATCTGAACGGTCACTTGTTTCGGCTGCTGAGACTGTGAACTGATTCCGAGGGTTTGTTTTGATTGGCGACGGCCGCCGCCTTGTTGTGCTCCAACCATGCTTGCTTTGGATTCAGCTTCATGCGCCTGCCTGCTGTCTGCGGCCGCGCTGATTGACCCTTGAGTGCCTTGAGACATGCGGATTGTGCTTGGGCGAAGACTCTATCTGCACGTTGGAGTTGTCTCATTCCGTTGTGGGGGAGGCGAGGATGATCCTCTGCAGCAGCCCAGGACATCTGAGCATACAGATGAAGATTACCCTTTGCTGCGCCTGAGCTATCCCCAACAGCCCCTTGCTTTGCCGAACTGGGCCCTGCCTACAACTGGGGCGTTAGAAGGAGGGAACCCTACTGGTGTTTCCTCTGGCTAGAAACACTTCATGTACCTTACCACGAGCTCACAAGCAAACTGCTGAACTACCAAGGCGCGCCTCCGGCCTCTGCAGAGGGTGCGGCTTCAGGGTTTAGGGTTTAGGGTTTAGGATTTAGGGTTTAGGGTTTTGGGTTTAGGGTTTTGGGTTTTGGGTTCAAGGTGTTTTGGCGCTTGCTTGCGAAGGTTTGTGCGTGGGGGCAGAGTTGTCGTCGGAGGGTCTTAGGTTCCCCACCCTCAAATAAGGTTGTAACATGTTATAACCACTTCCCAAACCCCTTGTAAGAGTTCAGTTTTCGACCGGGGTTTCTGAGGGGCTTAAGACTCATAGAGTTCAACGGGCGACGCCCAAAAAACGTGCGAGAGCCGGCAACCCCTGTACCCGGACCTGCTACTGTAGAGCTCCCAAACGCTCCAATACCGTTGGAACCAAGGAATCAGTTCCCCGAAATGGAAAGAGGGATCCTATTCCGATTGACGGAACATTCCTTCATGTCAGGGGTAGTAGACTGCGTTCTGAAGCCCTAAGTCCCAAGAACTAAGACCGAAAGCCTCAACCCAAAATCCTGAACCCTCAACCCTAAGCCCTCAACCCTCAACCCGAAACCCTCTGCACCCCAAACCCTAAACCCTCTGAACCCTCAACCCTAAACCCTCTGAACGTCCACCCCACGTGTGTCTGGGAGACAATACAGAGCGCGCCACCGAAGAGCAGGAAACGCATGATGGATTACCTGGAGGGCAACACCGTCGAGAGGAACACGGATCCCGGTGACCATCGCTCTCGGTGGGAATATGCCGTTCGCCTGAAGCAAGAGGTCCTACAAGAGATCAAGAATTACAGGATGTACATCGCGCCCAGTCCCTTCGGGACATTGCTGCGGGCACCGTTCTACCACGCACAGGGGTTACGACAGTACCCCGCAGTGTGGTCCGTGAAAGGGCTCACGCTGATCGAGCGGGCCCAGCTGATCATGGACATGTCCGCAGCCAACGGTTGGAAGGTCACAGTGGGCGATGTGGTAGGGTGGGATGCTTCGTGGCGACCATGGCACGAGGAAAAGGCCACGGAGATCAGGGCCATTGTGCACGCAAACTCGGAAGCCATGCAAGAGACCCCAGCTTCTAGGACATGGCTCGCAAGAGGCGGGGGTTTTCGGATGGCCGCCCAAGGACCGCACAGGAGTGGCGAGGGGAACAATTATTTAGATAATGTTCACTTGCACAGCCTGATTGAAGAAACGTACCAAGCGGTGGTAATCGGCCACGCGATCCCCAATCGCCCGAGGAACCAGGCGCACTTTTATCCGGAGCTCATACCAGCACGGGTGAAACATCGCTCTCCAGCCGAACCAGGCACGCGCGTCCTCTATGAGGGTGATGACCGTATTGGGACGGCGCCCGAACAAGGGGAAGAGAAAATGCAAATCCAGAGGCGCTGGTACCTGGCGGCTGGTTTTGTCTCAGACCAGGAGCTCCGCGCCGCAGGCGCGGGAATGCGCATCACGGGCGATGATGGCCGGGAGCTACCTCCAGCTGATTTTTGCTCAACAGTGATTGGAGAGCGCGCCGGGGACGGGAAAATCCTCACAGGCCCAAAACCCCACGTATATCGAAATTATCACAGACCTTTACACAGATCCACAATTTTGCACTCAAGGCTTTTCTCAAGAAAAAAGTTGGGGTACGCCCAAAAGCGGAATACGACAGGGATGTCCACTCAGTCCATATTTATTCATCATGATTATGACAGTACTGTTCCATGACATTGACGCCCGACTTAGGAGCGAGGGTACTCCGCAAAACACTTGGTCAATAGGCAAACCAATTTATGATCTAGAATATGCAGACGACACTCTATTAATGGCAGTCACGGCACCACAGTTAGAATCCTTGTTGGCCTGCGTACAGGTAAAGGCATCTCTTTATGGATTACAACTCAACTACACGAAAACCGAACTACTCCGCCACCCCAAAGCCCAGGCAGACATCTGTTTCGCTGATGGCACCCCAGTGCCAGTAAGTGAGCAGGTTAAATATTTGGGCTCCAGGATCAGCTGGACTACTCCGCCAAAGATAGCCATTCAACATAGAATGGAATTAGCTCACTCCTCATTCATGAAGCTCCAACACATATGGCAGAGTAAATTACCCATTAAAGT